GCTAAATCATGAAAGTAGCTTTCTAGGTACCAGTCACGGTTCCTAGTTTGTCTTCTGACTTAAAAGAAACATTCACCAGGAATGCAGATAATAACTGTCTCAGTGAAATTCTGCAACGCCTTGTTTCTGGAACTTCTGTGCAAAGGCTGAATTCTATGGATGTGATATCAGAAGTAATCCTTATGTCAAAAGATTCATTTCCTTCTCATATACACTGGTATGCCATCATTTATGTTTTTTTGTCTCAATTTTCTTTCTCTCGTTTTTCTGCATCTTCTTTAGTTCCTTGAGTTTATTTGCATTCTCTTCCCCTCAGAAGTTAGAACTCATTTCTGCACTTATTTCAGGAAAGAGATTGCGGACTGCTTGTTAAAGTGCCTTGGAGACGAGGAAACTTGTATCTGTAAACAAACTTCAGAGTTGCTGAAGTTAATTGGTTGGTCTTCTTTTTGCCTTTATACGTGATTCCTTTGGAAGCTTTTGTTTGTGGCCGTTATCAATTCCTGGTATTGGCAGTCTTATGTCACCTATGCCCTCGAGATCTGCCCTCTCTTCATTTTATAAGATTAATTTCATAAAGTTTGCTGAAGTGTTTTGTTGAAAGGAAGAGTTAAATTAATTATTTATTATACAGATGAGGAAAACTTGTAAAGATCCCAATATATGGGTCCAAGGCTTGTTATTCCATATCTTGATAGCAGTTTTAGTTCATATAGGATAACATTTGTTTTAGTTTTTCCATAGAATTAAGCCAATCAACTGAATGATTTTTGTTTTTGTTTTTTCTTCCAGAGCCATCTTTTGTGCTACCAGATTTAGTAACCCTCATTTATGCATCCAATGGAAAAGTACACTCATCAGCTACCGGAACCTTACTTGGGGTCCTGAAACATTATAACGAGGATTCTGATGTTATATGTATGTTGCTGACCTGTCTAAGGTATCATGCTCCGTCTCTTTTTCTCCTTTCCCCCATGTATACATAGTTGTTTGTTTATGTTTATTCCCATTTACCCTAAGTGAGAACACACCGGATTCTTAGGTTAAGCTTGTAAAAGTAAACTTACGAATGCTTCATACGTTAAGATATTGACCTGACTACCTCGTTTGGTTTTAATTCTGTTTTTGCATCGTATTACGCTAATATTGAAAAGGCTTTTCTGCTTCTGATCTCCACTTTTCTCTTCTAGTAATATTCAAGCTTTGGATACTTCAGAAAGCAATGGACATTCCACTGAAGGTATTTGGCTTCTTATTTCATTGCCATAGGCTGCATGCTATACGTAATTTGTGGTAAAACTTCATTTTGTTGTTTTCCTTCTCGTGTTAAACATTTGTCTTATATATGCACAATCCAAAAGTATTGTACAAATATTCAACACTTCAAAGTATGCTGGATAAGAAATAAAATTACTGGAATGTGAAACTTGAACGATGTAAAATATGTACTAATCTAGCTGAATTACAAACTGGACACTATCAAGTTTTTCTTTGGCAAGAGCATGCTCATCATCTTCTTGTACTGTTACAGGTTCAACTTTTGACAGTGATCGAGTGCTAAAAATGATACCAGAGTGGGCTAAAAGTGTAAGTACGGGAATACGTCATACTTACTAGATTATATGCTATCTTTGAAATGAATCCATTTTAGTTTCTTAAGTGGCTGTATATGCACCATTTACGAACTGTTGGTGCACTACTGAATAGAAAATGATAACTGAACTTTTAACTCTGAACTTCAATACAAACTTTTTCAGGCATTGGTTGTTCCTTTTTTTCCCTTCCAAGTACTATTACCTTTTATCTGATTATTTTCTTGTGTATGTGCTGTGAAACCCTTCGCATGGGAATGACCAAAGCTTGTGCCAGCTATAATTAGGCAATTATAATATATTCTGCTTGTTGACTGAAATCAAATTCTTACAGGTACAAAACTGGGACTCACTGATCGGACCTTTGCTTGACAAGATGTTCTTGGAGCCATCCAATGCCATCATCGTTAGGTTTCTTAGTTGCATCAGTGAATATTTGGCAGATACGTCGGACTTGGTCCTTCCGCATGTACTTTCACATATGAAGAAGCTAAACAAGTAAGTAAAATACGCACCATAATTGTGATATCTGTGGTAAGAAAACTTTTAACAACTTCCCAAGATATAAAATATTGATTATCGATAATGTCAATTCTATTTTAGGGTGGATGAGAGCTTCATATCCAGATCTGATACTAAAAGTTCAGTTGACAAAGCTAAATCGGAGAAATCTCTATTTGACCACCTTTGCCCACTGCTTATATTAAGACTGCTTCCCCAAAGAGTGTTTGATGATATTGATTCTTCTACAATTTATGGTAAATTCCTCAGCGGGGACTCTGTGAATGGTAAGCATGCTTATGCCTTTGATTTCCTTTTCCTGATAAGAGAAGAGTGGGTATTTATCATATGGTCGTTTGACCCTTATTCCCAATTAGATTCAATGCTTTAGCTATATTTTCCTAAGCGGCATGATCCAGAGTAGATACTGACGATCTTAGACTTGATTCACCACATCTATTTCTTGTCATGTGGTACTTATCAGACTACCAAGACATCAAGTTTGAGGATTGTCAATGCATTGCCGCTTTCATTTTGGAAAGGTTATTTTACTCTCAGTGATCATCAAATGTCATCTACTCTATATTTTATATCTTCCGAACTAACTCTAGTAATACAGGGCATTTTCTAAGTTCGAATTTGAAGAAGTTCGGAAACTCTCTGCTGAGCTATGTGGACGTCTCCATCCCCAGGTGCTAACTGACTTCCCTCCTTGCTCTTGTATTGTTAGTCAATCTTGTGTAAATGTTTACATATGTTTTAAGCCTTTGTTTGAAAGTAAATTTTTATATACCAAGAAACAAGGGTAGATGCTCATTAATAGGTTTCCTCTCAAGTTCACTGCTATCTTTATGAGAAAGCAAAGCACATGCGAAATTTTCACCCGTCATAACTAGGTTCTGTTAGTAAGGAGAAGGGCTTGGTGCATTTTCTTATATCTGAAAATTTCTAAATGCTCCACTTCAGTTTTACATACACCATAGTCTAAGCCTACTCATCATCATCCAAATTTGTAATATGCCGGCACTTTTATTTGACAGGTGCTATTTCCAACTGTTTTATTGCAACTTGAAAAGGCCACAGAGCTACAAGACAGCCTCAAGATTAAAGCTTGCCTATTTTCTATATGCACATCCCTTGTGGTAATATTTTCATCTTTCGTGTTCTATATGAACATATTCAGTGATCTTTCGATGCACTATCAATTGGATTATTTTTGTACATTACAAATTTTCCGGCACTTGCAGGTTCGAGGCTGGGAGTCTTTCTCACACAGTGTGACACCTAAGATCAGGAAAGTCCTGGAAAATATTTTGTTATGGCCTTCTGTTGAAGATGAAAGTAAGACACAGGCTAGTGGCTGTTGATTTATATCTCAAGCTCTGTTACCTTTCACTTCCTCACTTCATGGCTGTTATTTTTCCTTACAGTTTCCAAAGTACAACATGGGTGCATTGATTGTCTGGCACTGATGATATGTGCTGAACTGCAAGATCTTAAATCTTTGAAAACATCTGGAGGAGAACAAATGCGTACAACAGAGGAGGACGCATCTGGTTAGTATCGTTCTATTTCATGTCTGTAGGGCTAACAATGGTTTTTTAAGACTTGTGTATAAATTGTATCCTGATCTGTAGGTGTTGATGCGTCAGGTAATTCTGTCCTAGATTACACGATCCATTGTTTAGTAGAAGACAGAAGTAACTGCTCGTCTATCCCAAAGCTGAGTACTGGTGAAAATCCTCTTCCTATTCCATTTCGTCTGTGCATGGCAAATGTGATCATTAGTGCTTGTCAAAAAATCCCCGAGTCTACCAAGAAGACTTTTGCTCGAAAAGCTCTTCCGCCTCTTGTTCATTCCCTCAAGGTACTTTCGACTGCTTACACTCATTTCTGATTTGGCTAAATTTGTTTGTATTTTGTTTTGTTTTCAACAGAATTCCTGAATTTTTCGCAGGTCATATCTGTACCTGAGGTCCGTGCAGCCTGTATCCAAGTCTTATTCTCGGCCATGTACTATCTTAAGTCCACACTTCTTCCTGTTTCATCTGATCTACTGAAACTTTCCCTGAGATTTCTTGAACAAGGATCCGAAAAGGTATCAGAAATCTATTAAACTTATTTCTAGCATGTATGTATACAATGGTATGGAAGTAGACAAAGAACTTCAATTTTAGACATGAAAGATCCTTTCTCAAGTGACTACTGTCGACAATTGTGAATCCCACAATCCATTTCCGGAAGTATCTGCATCTATAAACATCTGAACTCGAATATTTATGCCTGCCTTGGTTTTTAAGCTTATGCGGAAGTCAAATCATACTCTTGTTGTGTAGGAAAAGCTGGCTGGCGCTAAACTGATGGCATCACTGATGGCGAGTGAAGACATGATACTGGAAAACATTTCAGAGGGATTGCTCGAAGCAAGATCAGTTCTGTCAAAAGCATCTTTGTCAGATCCTTCTCAAGACGTACGTGAAGTCTGTGCTAAGCTCTTGGCATGCATAACGCCGTTGTAACCTGTGTTCTTCTTTTTTTGCCACTTTTGGTTTGTTCGTGCCAATGAAGTTGGTATGTAGATATGTGGTAGCAAACGGTGGCCTAACTTTCATAGGGATTGTAAATATTATGTAATATGCAAAGACCAAATACGTTTTAGTAACCAGTTATGGTCGGAACCTGCAGCTACCATTGTGTTTTCTGAAACTGAGTCTTGACGTTTTTAATTTGGCTTGGACTCGAAGATCTGATTAGAAAATCAAAACAACACCAGTCCTCACTCTAGGTTAGCACTCGTACCTGTTCTGCTGTGCTTGTTCTTCACAGATGGAGCCGAGTTGCAGAGACCGCTTCCTGATGATGGTAACAAGGCAAAAATTGTGTGCAATGGTAGAGACAGCATCAAACTATAAAACAGGGGATGATTTTATTGATATAGACCTAAAGAGAGATGGAATTATAAATGAAAACTAGATTAGCCAAAGATAGTCAAAAGGTACATACGATTTTACCAAAGCTAGATTGGACTCGCACAGACTTTTACCAACGTCGAATACTATTAACTAAAGAACATAAACGCATACATGACATGACCTATTGCTTTTTACCTATTCCTTGTGTCATTGTTTTACTCTCTTATACTCTTGTCTTCTTCTTCTGTCTTCACCTTCACTGATGTCTCTTTCATTTCTTCTCCCTACTCACACCATCCTCATACCTCTTCCCTGATGTTGTCAGGCTGCTAACTTTTGACAGCAGGAGCAGCGACTCTTGACATGAGAAATGCTTGACTTGAGTTGCTTTGCATCGTTTACACTAAGATCCTCTACATAGTCAACATAGGCAAAAACTTCACCACGATTCTCAACCTCTTCAAGCTTAGCTCCAAACCCTTGGATTTCAACACTTTGGAGAGTGTTCTTTTCGGGATTGAAGTAGAACACATAGTACGGTTTACATGTATATTTCATACACAAAACAATATCACCTGTACCAGTCACTCCGGCAACTGAAAATTTGGAGGAAGCAAGGACTTCATTCTCTGGCAGAGTATAGACATATTTCACCCATTCCAATTTCTCGACATCCTCTAGTACCGACATACACAACTCAACGGTACGTTTTCCACCAGCCTTAACACACTTGCAATTAGTCACACCTAATTTACCCATACAGTTGACCAAACTCAATCTAGTAGGATCCTGTAGACGATCATTAAAGCGGGCTGCGTCAATAAACTTGAACTCCTCAGACCTAACATCAGCGCGGACTATCAAAAACGTCAATCCAAAATGTGTTTCAGCTAAGAGAGTTTTAGCTAAGTAATACAAAACCCCATTGATGCATATCCCTTGAGTCGAAGAACAACGCTCATACAGAGGACACGGGATATCGTTACTCCTCCACTTGAGTTCTCCAGATCCTAATGTTAGAATGAACTGATGATCCAATGCCTTGAATTGCTTATCAATGGGATCAAAAACTAAAAAGCCTCGAGACCTTCTGCCCTTCATGATTTCAGGTAAGCCCACATACATTCCGGTGATAGGGTTACAAATCAAAATCGTGTCAGTATCAACGATCCGCACAGCCGGAAAATAGATCAAACCTGAGGCATAGCTACAAATGTATTGGCTAACGTCTCCTGAGAACTTGGTATGAAAATCCAAATGAGCAGACTTCTCATACCGATTCTGTGACTGAGGCGTCGAGAAAAATTGCCACTCATTGCATCTGTATCGTTCGACCGCAAACAAGAGACGTGGACGAGTCGAGGATCTGGTCAGGAACAGCTTGGTGAATTCAGGACTGCGAAGCATAGACGCCCAGTGCTTCGACAGTGTACGCAACCTAGCCACTGACTTCGACGGCAATCTCGAGAATATCTCGCGAATGAGATCAGTCGGGAGTGATTCCATTTTTTTCCCTCTTTCCATCGGATTCGCCGGAGTTCGTGATTGTTCCGCCGGAGAAGAATGATAGGGTTTTAGGGATACGACGACGACAAGGTTGGAATTTGTGCCTATTTTTTTTTTCTTCTTTCTAAATTCGTCCGTCCGAGTAAAAAGAAGCGAAAGAAATAGACAGTGAATTTGATGGGCCTTTGGGCTTTAGCGTAATTGTGAATGAGCTAAGCCCATTAATTTACTGCCGTAGTTTTTGGTATGTCCTCTCACGTGCCAATGAAGTCGGTATGTGAAATGCGAAGACCAAAATAAGTTTGGGTATGGAATCTCCAGCTACTGGTTATCAAATAAATAGACTGTAGAAATTGGACTTTGATTTCGGGTAGAGGATAGCATTAAACTATGTAAAACTTGATTAACCTAAAAAAAGAGTCAACAATGCTACAATACGATTCTCTGCAAAAGATATGTAATACACTACCAAAGCTAGATTTGGTTCACACTCACACAGACCTTCCAACGTCTACAACTAAAGAACATAAACACATACTATATGACATGCCCTACTGCTTTTTACCTTACCCCTTCTCTCTTTTCTTCCCTCTTATACTCTATCACTCCGATGATTGTCTTGTTCTGTCTTCATCTCTTCCCTACTGTCTCTTTCATTTGTTCTCTCCATGTGGCTCAGGCCTTTTAGTAATGATAATTAGGCTGCGATACTTTATTACAGCAGGAGCAGAGATGCTTGACTTGAGAGATGCTTGACTTGAGTTGCTTTGCATCGTCAACCCTAAGATCCTCTACATGGTTAACAAAGGCATAAACTCTACCACGATTCTCAACCGCTTCAAGGTTAGTTCCAAAACCTTGGATTTCAACGCTTTGGAGAGTGTTCCTCTCGGGATCGAAGTAGAACACATAAAACAGTTTACATGTATACTTCATACACAATACAATGTCACCTCTAGTGGTCACTCCAGCAACTGAAAAATCGCAGGAATCAAGGACTTCATTCTCAGGCAGACTGTAGACATATTTAACCCATTCATGCTTCTCGACATCCTCTAGAACCCACATAGACAACTCAACGGTACGCCTTTCACCAGCTTGACAATACTTCCAATTAATCCCTCCTAATTTACCCACATAGTTGACCAAAATCAACTCACTAGTATCATCAACTTGATCATTGAAGCATTCTGCGTCAATAAACTTGAACTCCTCAGACCTAACATCAAAGCAAATGATCACACTTGACGACACCCCAACTGTCTGAGCTAAGTAATACAAAACTCCATTGATGCATATCCCTTCACTCAAAGAACGATCGTATGCAGGACAACTGATGATATTACTCCTCCAGCTCAGTTCTCCAGTTCCTAATGACAGAATCTCATGATGTTCCCTTTGATCACAAAACGGATAAGCCTCAGACAATACCTTGAATTGCTTATCAATGGAATCAAACCCTAAAAAGCCTCGAGAATTTCTGTACCTCATCAGATCAGGTAAGCTCTCATACATTCCGGTGATAGGGTTACAAATCACAGGCGATGCATCTTTTGAGAGCCACAAATCAGGAAAATAAACCAAACCTGAGGCATAGCTACAAATGTATCGGCTAACGTCTCCTGAGAACTTGGTATGATAATCCAAATGAGACGACTTCTCATATCGATTCTGTGGCTGAGGCGACGAGAAGAAGAGCCACTCACCATTTCGTTCGGCCGCCAACAAGAGACGCGGACGATTCGAGGATCTGGTCTGGAAGAGCTCGGTGAAACCTGGACTGCGAAGCGTAGACGCCCAGTGCTTCGACAGTGTACGAAATCCAGCGACTGACTTCGCCGGCAATCTCGAGAATATCTCGATAATGAGATCAGTTGGGATTGGTTCCATGAATTTTCCTCTTTTCATAGGATTCGAAGAAGCGTTTATGGTCGCCGGAGTGCGTGATTGTTTCGTCGGAGAAGGAGAGGTTTAGCCGTTTAGGGATACGACGACGACAAGGTTGGAATTTGATGGGCCTTTGGGCTTTAGCATAGTTGTGAATGAGCTAAGCCCATTTATTCATTGCCATAATTGGGACTTTTGGTTTGTTCTCTCACGTGCCAATGAAGTTCGGTATGGTATGTTAGATATGTGGTAGCAAATGATGGACTAGTTTTCATAGGGATTCTAATTAAAGAATGCAAAGACCAAATATATATTTGGTAACTAAACAGCAAAGATTGCTTTTTGATTTAGGAAAACTCCTTTTTTTGGATTAAAAATAATATAAATAAGAAAAGAAATATATTCAATGTATTTTTTTCAGTGAAACAGAATAAAATGGGTTCAATTATTACTTTTCTTTTTTTTTGGATTTGGTTGAAGTATGTATATTATTAAAATAAGAAATGGGATTAGGGAACAAAGTGGTGAGTTAAATGTGATGATAAGAGAAGAAGGAAGCATGGGATAATGGTGAAGGGAGCGGCGCTTAAATCTGAAAATCTCGAGAATGAAGAAAACACGTCACTTCACTCTCACGATCGAACATGTGATTCTTGTGTGCTGCGACGACTCGTGACTCTTGCCTCTCTTTTTCTCATGCATGGCTCTCCGATTCTCCGACGAAAGAAGGAAACAACAAAAAGGTAAAGATAAATCGTAAAAGCTTTAAAGCTTTAAAGTGTCTCAGGAAAAATTATTGTAGGAACCCAAAAAAAACACCCCTAACATATACAATATTAGAGCAAGTCATAACAAACAGAAGAAGAAAACACATTTGAGTTCCAAATGATTAAAGAATTTTTAGAACATAATAATCCAAAAAAAAAAAAAAACATGTGTGTGTGCAATTGTTCTAACTTCTTAAGCTATCATCAAAATTGTGTATATAATAAGGTCGGCATTACGACTGTTTGGAATGCAGGGGACATCTAGAACTAGGGATTATATTATTCTAGTTTTAGCCTAGGTAGAATTATATAAATATGATGTTGAAATGAAATGGTTAAAAGACTTTTTTTCTTTTCTCTTTTGAAAATAACAGAATATGAGAATAGCAACGGTCACATGCGCGGGTGAAAAAAAGCAATTCTCTAGGAATTGAAGCGAACCGTGACATTATTTAAGCACTCACATACTCTTTCTAAGCTCCATTATCCTCTTCTTCCTTCTTCACTCTCAATCTTCTTCTTCACTGCAAAACAAATGGAGAAATCATCCTCAATGAAACAATGGAAGAAGGGTCCTGCTCGGGGTAAAGGCGGTCCACAGAACGCTCTTTGTCAGTACCGTGGAGTCAGGCAAAGGACGTGGGGCAAATGGGTAGCTGAGATCAGGGAGCCCAAGAAGAGGGCAAGACTTTGGCTCGGATCTTTCGCTACAGCTGAAGAAGCAGCCATGGCTTATGATGAAGCTGCCCTGAAACTCTATGGGCACGATGCATACCTCAACCTACCTCATCTTCAGCGGAATACGAGACCTTCTCTGACTAACTCTCAGAGGTTCAAATGGGTACCTTCAAGGAAGTTTATATCTATGTTTCCTTCTTGTGGTATGCTAAACGTGAATGCTCAGCCTAGTGTTCACGTTATCCAGCAAAGACTAGAGGAACTTAAGAAAACTGGACTTTTATCTCAATCCTATTCTTCTAGTTCTTCCTCCACCGAATCAAAGACTAATACTAGCTTTCTTGATGAAAAGACCAGCAAGGGAGAAACAGATAATATGTTCGAAGGTGCTGATCAGAAGAAACCAGAGATCGACCTAACCGAGTTTCTTCAGCAACTAGGAATCTTGAAGGATGAAAATCAAGCAGAACCAAGTGAGGTAGCAGAGTGTCATTCCCCTCCACCATGGAACGAGCAAGAAGAAACTGGAAGTCCTTTCAAAGCTCAGAATTTCAGCTGGGATACGCTGATCGAGATGCCAAGAACTGAAACTACAACAATGCAATTCGACTCCAGCAATTTCAGAAGCTATGATTTTGAGGATGATGTATCTTTCCCTTCCATCTGGGACTACTGCGGAAGCTTAGATTGAGAACAAGCAATTCATGGTAGATCAGATTCAGAAGTACACAAATGGTTTGGGTTTAGTGTAGTGTTCTGGAATAGGGAAATAGGTAGTAAGAGACTAAGAGTGCAGTCTATTATTATGCAGCAATAAAACGAGTCATTGTACTTCTGAATATGAACTGAGTTGTTCGCTTTTTTTGGGATGTTAATGAGGCATGGTCACTTTTTCGCAATCCTTTAGCTCAATAGTTTAAATAGTAGTGAAAGTCACAGTCCTAAAAAGAATGATATGTTTTGTGCAAGTAACCATGCACAAGCTTACCTATCATAGCCCTTTTCATGAAGATCACATCGAATATCCCAATAATATTTGAAAAACAATAAATAAAGATTATGATGGTAGGAACAAATATACCTGTAAACCAAGATTCGCCTTCGAATTGACCAGCGCAAACATTCTGTCGAGAAAAGAAAACGACTAAACTGAACAACCTAGAGACACATCACATGATGCATTAACTCCCACCAGAACGTTTCACCTGCCAGCACTGATCAAAATCTGAAAAAAATTGCAAAAGAAAAATCCGAGGGAGGGAGATGTAGGAATTATCCTCGTCAACCTAATCGTGGGACTGTCCTTTTTGTTTCTGTTGATATCTTTATGACCACGTATAGACAACATCTACAGATCTTCAACAAGCCTAAACAGCAGCTACACTGAACCTTCACGACTTTCTTAGGTTTAAGCCATACAAGGATCTCTTATCAATGGAAAGAATTCAAGGAATAGAGTAAAGATCAAACACGAAAGCGTAAACTTTATGAACATAACAACCTCACTGCCTAAGCACAGAATTCCTCTTCATTCCAATATAACAAACAATGCAACAGATACACTAGTCATTCCAAAGAGAGTAACAATTCTCAGTAACTTGACACTTGATCAATTTTTGGGCTTGTGGAGGAGAGCAAAAAAAAAAGAAAAGAAAAACTAACACTAAAAATCATTTGTATATAATGGCATCACGACCGGGCCCAATACCAATGTAATGAATGGGCACACCCACAAGTTCTTCAATCCTCTCAACATACTGCTGTGCAGCCTTCGGAAGATCAGAGTAATTTCTGACCGAGGAAATGTCACACTTCCATCCCGGTAAGACTTCATACTCCACCTACAAACATTTTCACAATAAAGAGAGTTATTCATCAACCCCCCAGTAAGTAATAGGCACCATTTCCTAGACAATAAGATGAACTCTGTTTTCAAGACTTTATCAGATACTATAGGAACAGCAAAAGCAGATGATTTGCCTGTCAGATTAATCTTTATAACCAAATTAATAACTAGAGAAGTTGCCCTATTCATAAAAGGAGACAGTCGGACATATGTCAAAGAACGACACTTACTTGCAGTTCTTCGAGAAGACGAAGATCACCAGGAAATGATTCAACAGGAGTGCCATCACTCCTCTTATAAGCCACACCCAGCTGGATTTCGTTCAGATCCGAAAGTACATCAAGCTTAGTGAGATTAAGTGATGCAAATCCATTGATTTGGCAAGAAAATTTCAGCGCAACAATGTCAAGCCAGCCACACCGACGAGGACGCCCAGTTGTAGTGCCAAACTCCTGTCCAGCCAACCTAAGAAGGTCACCACCTGGGCCCAAATTTTCTGTTGGGAATGGGCCTGAACCAACTCTTGTAGTGTATGCTTTTACCTGACAAAACAGGATCATCACAATGCTTACATATCTCTTTCATTGCTTGCAGATTAAATGTTATTGAACATCAATGCTACTAACTCATAACAACATAGGTTAAACAATTTGAAGGCCAATGCAAAAACTCAAGTCTATGAGTGAATATGATGCTTACCACTCCAATTAGATCACCAACAACTCTTGGTGCAATACCAAGACCTGTGCAGATCCCACCGGCAGAGGGGCTGGAGGAAGTAACAAAAGGATAAGTCCCAAAGTCAATGTCCAACATTGTAGCTTGACCACCTTCGACCAAAATCTTTTTCTTCTGAGAAATCGAGTCATTCATGAAATGGACAGTGTCAGTAATGTAGGGCTCCAATCTGTCAGCATATCTCTTGTATGCTTCAACTTCTTCCCGAAGCATGTCTGGAGTATATTTGAACCCTTGAAACCTTGCCGCAGCATCTGATAGTAAAAGGTCAAGCTTCTGAGGTAAAGTATCCATGTGCCTGAGATCACCTACTCTAATACCATTCCTTATCACTTTACTAGAGTAGGCAGGACCAATTCCCCTCTTCGTGGTGCCAATGAACGATTTTGCAAGCTCAGACTCCCTGAGCCCATCAACCTCTTGATGGAAATCGAATAACAAATGAGCGCGGTCAGAGACCAAAATCCTTCCTTTACATGAGACGCCATTGGACTCGAGACCATCAATCTCTTTGAAGAGACCAGGCAAATGCACCACAACTCCGTTTCCAATCACACAAGTAGTATCCTCATTCAGGATACCTGAAGGCACAAGGTGAAGTGCAAATTTCTTCCCCTCTGAATTGTATATAGTGTGTCCAGCATTTGCTCCACCCTATGGTAACCAAATCACAAAATTCAAACAAACAAAAAACTTAAACTTTGCAAATCAGGAACAGAAACTTACTAATCGAATCAACAAATTCAATTCAAATGTTCGCAAATCTCAAATTGACCCCATTTAATGATTAAAACAAGAATCTGAGAAAAAGGTAAAAATGTAAACTTTACCTGACAACGAGCAACGATGTCAAAGTGTTGGGCTAAGATGTCAACGAGTTTGCCTTTACCCTCATCTCCCCACTGGCAACCGAGTACACCCGATACTTGACTCAGTGATCCAATCCGTCCGAGAGACTCTGTGGCTGCTGAATCAGCGGCAACGCTCAGTGAAGCCGAGACAGCTGGACGTTTAGCAGAGCAAGAGACGAAGCTTCGAGGGTGGCGAAGCGGAGGATAACGGCGGTAATAAGGACCACCAGCAGCGAATCTTGGATTGGAGTCGAGAGAGAGGGAAGAGAGAGACATCTTTGAAGAGAGAGAGAAGAGAAGAGGTATCAAAGTCTTAGGGTTCGCCGGCACTTGAGTATGGGGAAACCTGAGGAAGACCTTTTTTCAAACTGAGCTCAGGTGAACTAAAATGACCATTTTGACCTTTACATGAAATATGTTCTAAATCAACGATAAACCGAACCGGACACAGCAAAATAGATTTAACAAAAATTGTTTCAACCGAAACCCAATTTAACGGTTCATAATTTCTTTAGTTCGAGTTATCAATTGAACCGAATATTGAATGAATTTAATATGGTTAAACCGAGACTAAAACCGGTCTTAACACAAAGCAATAACGAAACTGAAGTTAAAAGACAGCGTTTTCTAAACATGAGATGATTGGATGGTGTAATTCAAAACCCAAGATTATTCCTTTAGAAAATAATCGATATGGCAATGATTCTGCCAAGTATATATGTATATATATGGTTCTGCAACTTCTGTCTTCTGAGCTATTTAACATTTACACCCCAAAAAAAAAAAAAAATTCTGAGCTATTTACTCCCAAAGTTCCACACTTCTTTTTTTTGAGATTTTGATCAGCCGGTTTTATGGAGACATTCTTGAGGCTATCCGTAATCTTTAGCCCGGTTTACTACTTGCTTTCGTCTCCATAGAGCATTGTGTAGCTTGAAATGTAGAGTTTGTATGAAAGTAGCGGAGAGTGTTTATGAGATGGAATGTCATCTTCGCTGACACGAGTTGCAAAGCTTTCGTAATTGAGCATGTTCTCACTGGGCAAGTAGACTCCAACCTAATATTTAGGCCATCGGAGGAACTTCAATATACTATCTTTTCTGTATGCATGAAAATATCATGTAAAATACTATCATTACTATTTTAGGTGATATTTTTGTGAGTGGGTGATATTTTGGTCATTTTGATTTATTAGCATATAAGAAAAAGGAAATATGTTTATTTAAGTTGTCTAACTTAATAATTTCTCTAAGATTTTTTGGCATTCTCTTTGCATCTTGCGAAATGATAGAAATCATCATGCGGGTGTACATTGTTTTCTATCTCTATTTAGTATTTCTTTATATTCTTTTACATGCAATACTAGATGTGCTCCTTACTTATTTCCAAATATTACGACAGTTTCAAAGAGTGATGGTAAAATTATATTTAATTTATTTATTAAAAAAATTCCTTTATTTGATTAAAATGAACTATCTATTGTTTGATGCATTTCTACTCCGTTTCTTAAAGACTATCTAAAACTCCGGCATGAATGTAGTAGAGTTAAAGAGTTGTCCAAGTATATAAACAAGAATAATCAATCTGATAAAATAAGAGTTTGTGTGAAAGAATATATAATTGGACGTACTCCAACCATACTCTTCAACAAGAAAATAGATCAACCAACCTCTAACTTAAAATTCACCATCAAACCAAGAACAAAGGAAGGAAGCACTATGATCAACTCCAAAAATACATTCATCGTCACAACATCAATCTTATGCCTCTCCATGGCCATATTATCCGAAGGTCAAGCTAACCCTTTTCTATTGCAACTCGATCGGTGGGAAATGTTGCTACCAAGCATCGGTATATCCGCCATGCACATGCAACTCCTCCACAACGGCATGGTCGTAATGTTCGACCGTACCGATTTCGGTACCTCAAATGTATCTCTACCCGGAGGTATATGTCGATACGATCCTACTGACACCGCTGTCAAGTTCGATTGCAGCGCACACTCGGTTCTCTACGATGTTGTCTCCAACACATACCGTCCCTTGAATGTCCAAACTGATACATGGTGTTCTTCTGGTGCGGTTCTTCCCAACGGAACATTGGTTCAAACCGGTGGATACAACGATGGTGAACGCGCTGCTCGAATGTTTACCCCTTGTGGTTATAGTGAAACATGTGATTGGATTGAGTTTCCTCAGTATCTATCCCAACGTAGATGGTATGCCACCAACCAAATTATACCCGATGGTCGGATCATCGTGGTCGGAGGAAGAAGACAGTTCAACTATGAACTTTTCCCCCGACACGATTCTCGGTCTAGAAGCTCAAGATTTGAGTTTCTTAGAGAAACTTCGGATGGAAGTAACGAGAACAACTTATATCCGTTTCTACATCTTTTACCTGACGGAAACTTATTTGTCTTCGCTAACACAAGATCCATTGTGTTCGATTACAAAAAGAACCGAATCGTAAAAGAGTTTCCAGAGATTCCAGGTGGTGATCCAAGGAATTATCCAAGCAGTGGTTCTTCTATACTATTCCCACTAGATGAAACCAACAATACTGACATAGAGGTTGAGATAATGGTATGTGGAGGCTCTCCTAAAGGCGGCTTCTCACATGGATTCACACGTGCCACTTCCACGTGCGGGAGGCTAAAACTGTCCGATCAGAATCCAATTTGGGAAATGGAATCCATGCCCTTGCCACGTGTTATGGGGGACATGCTACTCTTACCAACAGGTGACGTCATCATCGTAAACGGAGCCGGAGCTGGTACGGCCGGTTGGGAGAAAGCACGTGACCCGGTTATCCAACCCGTGATTTATCAACCGTTTGATCATCTCTTCTCTGTTATGTCCACACCATCACGTCCTAGGATGTACCATTCTTCAGCGGTTTTATTACCAGACGGTCGGGTTTTAGTTGGTGGAAGTAATCCTCACGTTTATTACAATTTCACAAACGTCGAATATCCAACGGATTTAAGCCTCGAGGCTTATTCTCCACCATATCTATCTTTCACATCTGACCCAATACGTCCCAAGATATTATTGACAAACGACAAAGTATTGAGTTACAAGAGATTGTTTAACGTCGATTTCTCTATAGCTCAGTTTCTGACCGTCGATCTTCTCTCTGTGAGGATAGTTGCACCTTCCTTCACTACACACTCTTTTGCGATGAATCAGAGGATGGTAATCTTAAAGCTACTATCTGTGACGCGTGACCAGCTAACAAATTCTTATAGAATCAGTGCATTGGGTCCATCAACGGCTGAGATTGCTCCTCCGGGATACTATATGATGTTTCTGGTGCATGCAGGTATTCCCAGCTCAGCTGCTTGGGTGCAAATTGAGTGAACCTTAAATGGAAGATTAATAGTTTGAAATGTATGTTGCATGATGAATACAAATAAGAGAGAGAGGAAGAGATTAGATAATATGCTGAATAAATTGTTTACTTACGTAATTTAAATTAAAAAAAGTGGTTTGAATTTAACAAACAACGTTTTGCTTACATAACGACTGATGGTGTACCTAATTCAAAACCCAAGATTATTCCGTTTCAAAAAGAATCGATTTGGCAATGAATCTTGAATGATTCTGCCATTTGTATATGTATATGCTTCTGCAGCTTCTGAGGTATTTACTTCCAACTTGAGATTCTTGATCAGTTGGTTTTATGGAGACATTCTTGAGGCAATCCGTAATCTTTAGTCCTGTTTACGACTTGCTCTCGTCTCCATGGATCGTTGTGTAGCTTGAAATGCAGAGTTTGTATGAAAGTAGCGAAGATGTCGTCATGCTTCAGTTTAGAGAATTGAACAGCCCACTCTTCTTCATGTCCATAACTAGCTTTTTGTCTCTCTGCTTCAAGCAAAATAGAGTCCCGGAACAGAAATCTTTGCCAGAGCTTCTTTACATTAGCCAGTCTGAATTGTATCTCTGTCTCGCTGAATCCCTGTGAGAGATTTCAGATTTAAATGAGTCTTAGATTAGGAGCACTTAAACAAGAGTGAGAGAGAGAGAGAGTGATTACTCGCAGAGTGTTTATGAGATTTGGAATGTCATCTTCACTGACACGAACTGCAAAGCTTTCGTAATTGAGCATGTTTTCATAAGGCAAGTAGATTCCATCCTAATAAAGAGACATCAATCAACGGGAACCAACAAACCGTCATTTTCGGATCAGACAGCTTTAGTTTTTGGAATGTATAGAATGCGGTAAGTCAAGGTATATATACCTGAATGATGACTGGGACACATCCTTGTAAGATACTATCTTCCATGCGTCCACTCCAACCATCTCCAGGGAAAGCACCACAGAAGATTGAATTGGCTATGTCCTTGTGGTAATTGTCAGAACGCAATGGAGTTACAATCACATCTTCTGCGTGCTGCTTCCCGAGCTTACCTTCTTTGTTAGGGCTCGAACCAAACTCTTCTGCTAGCTTCTGCCTGATTCCCATGCTATACCTGCATTAGATGTGATTGGACCATTATATACATCTCCATTAGCAATTCTGTTTAAAGCACAGCTCGACTTTCGCAAATGTTTCAACATGAGTCTTTAAGTCGAAGACTTACGAATCTTCAGGCCTTCCCTTTTCATAAGCAGGTCCAAGATTCCCATTGAAGTAAAACAATGTTTTCCGCTTCTCCCGTGGCCTAATAATAATAAGGAACAAGACAACAACTTTCAGGCTTTGAGTTTCCAGCGACATGACTGAAACAATGTCCAAGAACTATCAGAGAATATACCTTGCCCAGTAATTTGCACGCATTGAGTAAGGGTCAGGAACTTTCCAGGCTGGAATCACGAGATCTTTGCGGGGGTCAAAGCAAGGATGATCTCCTCTCCTCTCATCAGATATATCATCCCAGTTATCACCCCAATAAGCTGTTGTTGAATGGTTGTGCTTAGAGTTCGTGTTACCCCAGTGAACTAGCATCATGCTATTCCATATCTCTTTAGGAGCATAGCAAGCACCTTCATCCCATGAGAAAAACTGCCTTTTTCAGGCGTAGTAAGATTAGTCACATTTGTGTGGAGAGATCCATGTAAAGAATCAAGAAACAAGCTTTGAGATCCAGTCCTATTTATGTATGCATCATCATACCCAAATATGGTCTCTCCCAGCTGACCGGTTCCAGTATGGATATTTCTCAACGATGTGTTCATACGCCCTTTTGTAGAACTCTAAGGTAAATGAGCTTCTTAATCCAGTATGATTCTGAAAGTAATAAAAACATATGCAATATATGAGCTCTAGAGCTTCTGCAAGAAAAGAATACAAAAGGTGAGTTTCTCGACCCAACCTGCATGTTAATGTGAGGTGCATCATCAGCACGATTTATAATGCATGAATCCAGAACAGGAACAAAGAAGAAATCTGCCTCTTCTCCATTCAGTGTACGATGAGCGGTGGCCAAAATATTCTCATAGAATGCCATCTTCAAAATCAAAAGAGACAGAGAAGAGGCAGAGTTATCTTTCAATACAAATTCCGGAGAAAGTTGCTATATTATCTGGCTATTCGACTCAAGTTTAGTAGGAAACCTACCTGGGAACCATATAGATAATCTGTCCATACTGTTGCATTCCTCTCATCATAGATCCTATTAACACACTCAAGTTTAAAATGCCGGCCCTGCAACATCAAATTCAAATCAGATGAGACTGAGAAGGTGATTTTAACTTTTTGTAGAAGCAAAAAAAATAAAAGTTTGGGTTGTGACCTCAATAAGTAAACTGTTGAAGTCTGGGGGTAGATCATAGATGTATATAAGAGGCCTTTTTTTCTTCACCACAGCACTCAGATTAGTGAGATTACCAGGGACATTTTTTTCACTTGGAACTTCAAGATGTGCTGGTCGAAGCCACTGTGGCCACTCTCCTACCGTCGAGAGGGTGGATGGAGTACTACAATCTGTTCCAAACCAGCCTTTATCACACTGAAAAAGCGGTAAAAACACACAAAGTTAGGAAAGTTTAGATTAAAGAATATGCAACCTCTCGGTACCAAAATGTCAAGCTTGGTAACTGTGGATACACAATTTTACCTGGCAGAAGCCTCCTCTGCATTTGCCATGCCCAGAGCACTGATTAACGCAGGTGCATTGTACTGGAATTTCGCAGAACCTTCCCCAAAGACAATCATATTTACAGTCACATTCCTCTTTGATTTGCACCTTTAAAGCATACGCATCTTCTGGATCCACATTGCACCATCCTTGTTTACTACTGTTTGTTGTTAGAATATCTAAGTCTGGTTTTGACCAATCTGTCATTTTAGGTTCATCAGGATTCGCCGGCGAACTGAAAACACATGTCATAAGTTAGAGAGTTTTAAAGCTTGATTTGAGAAGCATTGAGACTGTCAAAAGAAAAGAATCATGTAAAACTCACTTGATTTGAAATCCACATGACTCTGGCACTGGACGATTTGGATATTTTGTGCCTTCTCCACAAAAGCACATTGCTCTTGTGGTGTCACAATGTCTGGAACAAATCGAAACAACCCATTTCCCGTATGGCATCTCAGGTGTTTTCTCATAATTGCAATCTAAATGAAGCTTTTGCGAACAATCATCTCCTGCACAGAACCGGTCAAAGTAGGCTTCATTTATTTACACACCAATGTCAATAGTTGTAAGAGCTAGAGATCAAAAATAATTCATTTGTTAATTTTTGGAGGATTGAGTTTGACTTGATCATTTACAAAGCAATCAACTTTGGGTTTAGGAAGATTAAAATAGCATAAACACTAACCTGTAAATCCATGGAAGCAACGACATAATCCAAATTCATAGTTACAAACACCTTGACCACTACAATCATTCATACACTTTCTCCCACCAATTGGCTGCCAAAAACACACACACAACCATTATAACAAAATCAAACAACCAACATTGTTTCAAGATACCAAAACAAAACTTACTTCAATAACGTCAACTTCTTTGGCTACTGCATCACAACTAGAAAGCCATTGTCCGATCTCGGCTTTCCATGAGGCATTTCGATAAACTACAGCGCCGTGAGAGTCAGCAGGAAACCGGCGATCAAAGGCAACAACAAGTGATTGACTTAAGTCCTTAGTGACTTGTGTGATTGATTCATTAGTTGGTCCAGAAAGATTCTGAGCTTGCCTTACAATAATAGAATCAAAAGAAGGCACTACAGGACCAAGAAACAGATGAACCAGTGAAACCAAAACAATGACAGAAGCAACAGTGGCTATCTGAGACCATGAGAACTTCCATTTCTGGTGAGAAAACATGATTGAATCCAAAAGCTTTGAGTTTTCAAACTTGACCGCCTGAGAATCATAAAAAAAAAAAAAAAAAAAGGAAGCAGTTTGATTTCATAAACCCAAATTCTCACGAAACATAAATAAATGGATTTTACAGAATCGTCAAAGAAACTGAGCTGAAATAAAGGAAAGATCATAGACCACAAGGTTGGGCAACAATAACTAACTATAATTGAGCAATTATTAAAAAAAAAAAAAAAAAAAAAAAGTGAGCTTTGACCGAGAAACAATGGAGTACTTTCAAACTCTGAAATGCGAACACATTAATGACTCCCAGAAAAACAAAACCCAGAGGAGTAAGTAACATTGAATCATGTGGGTTTGAAACAGTGTTTTCATACGTTAACCGGATCCAAAACAGAAGATTAATTAAAAATCGAACATTTGAGCTATTAAACAAGATACAAGAATCACGACAATGAGACAGAACATGTAGACAAACAAAAAAAGGAAGGAGGGGAGAGAGAGAGCGACAAAAACTCACCAGCTTTGACGGAAAACGGCATGGGTTTACATCAACAATGGGGAGGATTTATAAGATAATTATTACTTACACAGAGGTGATTATATAATAATTATAACTATAATAATAATTAGAGAGAGAGAGAAGGCCACGGAGATCTCTGGCTGGCCGGGAAGGAAAGCAATTGTTGATTGATTATGGAAGTGGTCGTCGTCTCGTGTTCGTGTGCGTCATCTTCTTCGATTCTCTAATTTTAATTACACCTTTCTCAGCATTCGCCGCCTTTCCCGGTTTGGTCTTCTTAACCGGTTTCTCTTGTTTTTATCTCATCAATTTTGATTTTCTGCAAACAATTACCACACTCTTGATCTGACCAAACCGAGTTCTATATCCCAAAACAAGTTTAATCTTTTTATCATTAGGGAAAACGATACCATCATTTACACTTTGATTGAGAGCATTTGTGAATTACTTCTTCTTCACATTTTCTTTTTATCAAATCGCCTTCTTCATATTCACTATTTTTTACCATTCTTACTATTTTGGTTTTTTTTTATCTGCTAAAAAATTCTACCGTTTTGGAGTAGTAAATCGAACCGAATATCTGACGAAAAAAAAAAAAAAATCGAACCGAATATCTATAAATTAATAATGTGGTTGCGTTGCGTCGACGGCTGTGGGCAAAACGGTAAATACGTACCTCCTTTTTGTTTAGTTATCGTTTCATTGTCTGAGAAAGACCGTGGTGGGTGACGCACTCCTCTAACGGACTATTGCGTAATTTACCAATATAGCCCCGTTTGATGGCAATGTGTTCGCTTTTTCGAGCATCTTTTATTGTATTTTTTGCGTTAATAATTGAAAATCAGACTCACGTGAACGTAGCACTTTTTCATTGGTTAGGATTTCCTCAACGACTCCTCAAAATTAAAAAGTCTACTACACTTGAACATGTATTTAAAACCAAATTATGCCACTTTTTTCGATCAGCCATTCAAAATTGTTAAGTTGTCACAATCCACCATAATAAATCGTTGTCAATAATTGGAATCTAAATTGAAACAGAAAGATTCCACTGGAAAAAAACAAAAGAGAGAGAGAGTGCAAGGAACCTCATGGGATGAGGTGAAAACGTGAGAGACTTTTGAATGTAATGGCGATGCACAATTTGCCCTGCGCATGATACTGTAATGTTACTGGACGATACAACTAGATGTTCTAGTTTTTATTACATTTAAATTTATGCAAGTTTAGTTTGATTTTTTTTTAATGTCAAATTAAAAAGTGAAGTCAACGAAATACAACAAAGAATGCTTCCTCCAGTCTATAAAATATGACATTGACAAATGACACCGACAAGGCTTCCCAGTTCCATAGCATATTTCTTCCGTTTCATAATAAATATCTTGTTAATAATTGTAAGATAAACTTAATAACTTGGAAAACGTTAAAAGTTCTTTAAAATGTATAATATACCCACCTATATTATACTTTTCACATAAAATGTCTTATCTTAAAGGGCAATAACTATACTATCTTATAACAGTATAGTAAATTCTTAAAATATATTTATTTATTTTGAAATAAAGTTATATTTGGTATTTTGTGTTTGTTTAGCCTTAAGTTTGGATTGCTGATTCCGTTAGATGACTTAGATGTCCAGTCCAAGCAGCAGCAGCCATGAATGATAAACACATAACAATGAGTCACATCCCCTCCAACCTGATATCTCTACTATTTTTAATTTGCATTATTTGAAAATGAAAGCATAAATTTTGATATTTTTGCAGACGGTTCATTTTCCTTTTCCAAAAATCCAAAATAAACAAGAAGAGACGTGTCTACAAGAATATGCAACATCTTGAAAAAGAAAATTTCTAAATTTATACAGAACATAAATGAAACTTGGCGATATGTTTTGAGGCTTTGAGCAAAACTTGATAATCTGTTTTAAACCTTGAAGAAATTTGTTTTCAAACTATCTTTATATAGTAATCTATACAAGTATGTGATTTATAATCTACAAACTTGTTTCATCGGAAGAAGAAGAAGAATCTCTAAGAAATATTTTTAGTTCTTTGGCAACTTCCACCATTTTTGGAACTTCCCCTCTAAGACCAATGCATCTTTCTAAGAGAACAATGAAAGCTTCCATTCGACAACGCTCTTCTTCTGTAACTTCACCTATTTTCTCTAGAATCTTTGAATCAACAATCTCATCAATGGATTTTGCAAACTTTCTTCTGTTTTCAAAGCTCACGAAATCTCTCTTCTCCCATCAGTTTTCTCAGAGACAACAGCATTGATCAAATAATTATCATCCATGTAATCATAATCTCCACCTATACAACCACTACCAAGTTTCACAAATGTTTCTCCTTGTGGAATCGAGGCACAGTGAGAGAAGTTACACAACTTAGCAACACCATCTTCATCATCCAATAAGATATCTTCTAAACGCAGAATCCTATATACGAAAGGTCTTGGAAAAGCAGTGTGAAGATAAGCTAAAGCAGTTGCAATCTCCTCTGCTATCTTCAATCTTTGTCTCCATGACACAACCGTTTTCAGATCTAAACTAGAAGGTTTCTTTAATGCACGATAAACCAAAACTGGATGTTCAGATTCAAGACAACATCCAACCAACTGCATGAAGTTTTTATGACCACTCACAATCGATGAGATGGCTATGTCGCGGCAAAAGTTGCCTCCATTATGCTCACTAAACCTATATCTCCATTTCTTGATGAGTAACATGTTATGATGATGATGGTTATTGTTTTTACCTGAATAATATCAATCGTATGGAATCTCATCGAATAGTTCAGAAACAAGATTGGATTCGCTGAAAGTGTCTGTGGCTTCGAGGATTTGATCAGCGGAGAAGAATTTGATGGGATTTGCTTCGCCATTGCAAGATTTGATGATCTCTTCTAACAATATCCCACCTCTCTCGTGTCGTCGGACCAGTCTCTCCCTTTTAACTATTCGCTTACCTATCTTGGCTAAAATGGTATTCAGATTCTATATTTAAAAGCTCAAGGCAATAGCATAAAGTATGTAAAAGCTATTGGAATCTTAACTTTTATATACGTTCTCTCCATATATACTATGTAACAACAGGTGATGGAGAAGTGTATAGCTCGAACTGATGTAGTTCAACGCAATTCTGCGTGACTCAGAGCATTAGATTCCCACGGATCCTGTCTTTGATCCTATCCTTGATTCCAAAGTTACGCCTCTCCTTGCTGGAGATTTATACATTAGGACTAAGAGAGGTTAAAGCTGCAAATCATTTGGATCCAACACAAGAGTTTAACAGAAAAAATATGAAACGTTAATGTTTTCATACACAAACCCAAAGACTTCAAGAGTTAAAAAAACAAAGGATAATGTTAAAAGTGTGACAGATTAACTACTTTCGAAGCTAGTCCTTACTCGATCCTCAGGCTCTGCTCTCTGCTTGGGGATATTTCGATTTCTTGTCCTGAGAATCTGAATCAGCTCCGCTCTCATTCGCTTTGAGTGCACCTTCTGAGCTCCCGCTACAAGTGGCAGTACTAGGCTCCTTCCGCTTCAGCTTATTGTCAACAGATTGCGAGCTTCCACTTTTGGCAATAGGATATCCTCCATCTAATAGACTTGTCCAAAGCCATAATGAACGTGCAAACTCATTTTGCTTGAGTGATTCGACATTTTCATCAGAGTCTGCCAAGAAAACTTTGTAACCTCTCAGATGCAAACCTTGAAGAACACTAATGAACTCAAAGTCTTCTGAGATGTTTTTTGAGATTACCATCACAGTTCGTATCATAGATTCCTGCACAGGATTGTCCAGCGCCCAGAAAAGAATGTCTTTCATCATCCTATTAACTCTCGCACATTTATCTCCTTCGGGTACAACCATGATTCCGGCGAGTAGAAACGCAGGGGCCTGGAAATCCTCGACGTCCCAGAAGACGCATGTGTGAGCAGAGATCTTACACTTACTGGATAAATCTTTGCTCATGATTTCGAAGCAGATTACTTGCTAAGAGGGACACTGTGTTAGGGTTATTTGTTAGAATTTGTGATTAAGAAACGAGAACAGAGAATTGCTGCTTTCAGAATAACAATGTTTGGAAAACCTTATTATTGATTAGATGAATAAAACTTCTCTCGTAACCTACATATTTATAACATGCTTCCTATTCAATAAAGTAAAAACTAATTAATTTCCTATCTTAATAATGCTAATTGCTAAACGAGACTCTTTCCTTTTTTTTTTTTTTGTTATTGCTCATGTGTTTGGCACATGTCTCACTTAATCATCTTCTTCTTTTCTTCGTAGAAGCCATTTTCAATCCCTAGATTCACCATCGTTTCATGGATGGACTCTTCTTCATTCTTCATCAGAGACAAGCTTACTCCAACATTATTAAGATCTCTCCAGTCTCCAACACTAGCCCTAACCTTATACGCCGTCGTTTCAATAACAAACGTCTATACCATTTATTCCAACCATAAAGTTCACAAAATAGTCCCACTCAGCTGTAAACGAAGAACACTAGATAAAGCGGTGAACAAAGTAGAGCGAAAAATAACTAGATGATGAACTAGTGCTTTTAGTTTGTTTAGGGAAATTGAGCAGCATTTTCTTGAAGAATGCATTAGAAGGAGCAGAGCATTTGAACCCAGTACAGAGTTTATCAGAACAAGAAGATGAAATGTCAATGTTTTTATTATACACAACCCAAAGACTCTGAAAAACAAGGGATCATCCATTTAAATAAAACTATAAAAGTGAGATCATTGTAGGTAATTTCGTTCTTGCGCTACTGGGTTTGGCCGATAGGATTTCCTCCATCTACTAGGCTTTTCCAAAGCCATAAAGAGCTAACAAAGTGAAGCTCATTTTCTGATGCGACATCATAATCAGAATCAGCTAAGAGAATGTTGTAACCTCTACATTGCAAAATTCGAAGAACCCTGAGGAAACCCTCCTCTTGTGAGATGTTTTTGGAGATAACCATCACATGTGGCAGTAGTACAGGATAGTCTGAAGGATTGTCCAATGCCCAGAAAAGAACGTCGCTCATCATCCTATAAGCTCTCGCACATTTATCTCCTGGAACCATCCATATATATATATATATATAAACGATTACAGATCGAAAAGCAGCATGTTAACCAGAGTTTAAGAGAAAATTAAGAAAGCTCACCTTCGGGTATAACGGTGATTCCGACGAATAGAAACTCATCCCAGATCTTATTCTTCTCACCATAAACCCAGATTTCCACATTACCACGATAACCTTTATTCGCAAGAGCTGATTTGATATTCTGATATATCGAATCGGGATCGTGACCATCAGGGATTGGATAATCCTCCGCATGTGTTAGCCTCTGCGAGGTTTAACAAATCGGGAAACAATTACGAACCGGATGGGAACAAAAAAAGCAATCAGATCGATGACAGTGAGAGAGAGAGAGATCTTACTGGAGCTCATGCTTTCGACGGAGATGAAGAGAAAATTAGAGACTTTTCTTTCAGATCAACACTTTTAGGGTTATTAATTACATCTCTCCACCGCGCCGTCGGTAGTATGCGCCGTCGTTTCATTAACCGTCTATACACATACTCTAATAATGCTTACTCTATTCATGAGATTTCTGACCCAAATGGCAATTGTTTAAAAAGTATGGAGGATATAAAGGCAGAAGGTGTCCGTTTTTTCTCGGAATTACTGACACACACGCCACCGGATTTTACTGGTATTGATATTGATGCTCTTAGGGAGTTGATTCCTTTCCGTTGTTCTCTGGCAGATAGAGAGCGGCTTCTTGGGGAAGTCTTGGAAGATGAGGTGAAAAGAGTTTTATTCTCTATGCCTAAAAACAAGTCGCCGGGACCTGATGGTTATACTGTTGAGTTTTACAAGGCAGCTTGGCCGATTGTTGGGAGGGATTTCACAATTGCGATTCAATCTTTTTTCAAATTTGGATTCTTACCTAAAGGATTGAATGCTACGATTCTAGCTCTTATTCCTAAGACGATAAATGCTAGAGTGATGAAGGATTATAGGCCCATTTCCTGCTGCAATGTGGTGTACAAGACCATTTCAAAAATCTTGGCGAATCGATTAAAATCGATCCTTCCTAATTTCATTGCTCCAAACCAGTCTGCGTTTATTGAAGATAGACTCTTGATGGAAAATTTACTTCTTGCTACAGAATTGGTGAAAGATTATCATAAGGAAAGAGTCTCTCCCCGATGTGCGATGAAGATAGACATTTCGAAGGCTTTTGATTCAGTACAATGGTCTTTTTTGCTGAATGTGCTCACTGCTTTGGATTTACCGGAAACATTCATTCATTGGATCCATCTATGTATATCAACGGCTTCTTTTTCGGTTCAAATAAATGGAGAGTTGGCTGGGTTCTTCAGTAGTAAAAGAGGGCTGCGGCAGGGATGCTCTCTCTCTCCATACCTCTTCGTTATTTGCATGAATGTTTTATCATCTCTTCTAGACAAAGCTGCGGTGGCTAAGAAATTTGGTTTTCATCCAAGATGCAAAAATATGAAACTTACTCATCTATGTTTTGCGGACGACATAATGGTATTCACGGATGGAAAGGTTGCTTCCATGGAAGGAATTCTTGCAGTGTTCAAGGAATTTCATAAGATTTCAGGATTGAGTATTAGTCTGGAGAAATCTACTCTGTTTTTGGCCGGCATTTCTGGGTCCCAAAGAGAGGATATTCTAGTACGGTTTCCATTTGATTCTGGAGCATTACCAGTTCGATATTTGGGTCTGCCTCTAATGACGAAGAGGATGACTCTATCGGACTGCCTCCCGTTACTTGAAAAAATCAGAGCTCGGATTAATTCATAGCGGAATAAATTTTTATCGTTTGCGGGGAGACTGCAGCTCTTACGCTCAGCGATCGCAAGTCTTACAAATTTCTGGATTGCTGCATTCAGGTTACCTTCGGCTTGTGTTAAAGAAATCGACAAAATTTGTGCAGCGTTTTTGTGGTCGGGTCCGTCCCTCAACTCAAAGAAAAACAAAGTTGCGTGGAAAGATGTGTGTAAGCCAAAGGAAGAGGGTGGTTTGGGGCTCAAATCCGTTGTTGAGATGAATAAGGTCAGTTGTTTTAAGCTCATATGGAGAATTGTTTCAAGTTCAAAGTCGCTTTGGGTAAATTGGATACAGAAAGAGCTACTTCGGTCTAGTTCTTTTTGGTCAATTAAAGAAACCACTTCTTTGGGCTCGTGGATGTGGAGGAAATTGCTTAAGTACAGATCGCAAGCAAAGAGTTTTCACTCGATGCAGATTAAATGTGGACTACAAACTTCCTTTTGGTATGATCATTGGTGTCCTCTAGGTCGGCTATATGATACTCTCGGTGATAGGGGTTTCATTGATCTAGGGATCTCATCGGATGCAACTGTGGCTGCAGCACTTGCGAACCACAGACCTAAGCACCACCGTGTGGATTATTTGAATCGGATAGAGTTGGAACTTGGACGACTTCGAAACAGGGGACAATGTTCTGACCCGGACGTAGCCTTGTGGAGAAGACCAGACAACAAGTTCAAGCCTCGGTTTATTACTTCAGAAACTTGGCTACAGATTCGAACAGATGGTCATAAAATAAGTTGGGTTAAGAGTGTTTGGTTCTCGGATTCTATCCCGAAACACTCCTTCCTGACTTGGCTTGCGGCAAAGAATAGACTGACCACGGGTGAGTGTATGATCGCCTGGAATATGGGAGTGAATCCATCATGTGTTTTTTGTCAAGCACCGATGGAGACACGTGACCATCTCTTCTTTTCTTGTGCCTACTCTTCTCGGGTCTGGGAGGATTTGGCAAGCAGACTCCTTCGAAGACGCTACACAAATTGTTTTTTGGAGATCATGTCTCTCTTGTCTGATTCCACATTCAAAGGTACTCTTGGTTTCATTCTACGGCTTTTGTTCCAAGCAACGATCCATACCATTTGGTTGGAAAGAAACAAACGCAGGCATGGTGATCCGATAACTACTGCAGATCAACTAATCAAGTTTCTTGATCGCTTGATTCGCAACAAAATATCATCCATCCGTCTCTTGAATCCCGCCAAGCTCGAAAATGGACTTCGTCTATGGTTCGATTCCAGGAACTAGACTTCTAAATTATTCTGTTGATTTCTTTCAAAACAATATTTGATTTAAGGTTGCATTTATTGTACAAAGGACTTTTTTGGGTTGAATAAATTTTACATTCATTCAAAAAAAAAAAAAAATAATGCTTACTTATCTTCTAGACTAGTACTAACATAAGAGCTTCTTGCCTTCTCGGCCTTGTATGAAGTTGTATCTAGCAAAATGGTGCACTGCTAAGCAGACAACTTTAGATCTTGTTCCTTGTTCTAGATATAGATTTGATATAGACACTTTCATAGATAAAAAAAAAAAAAGGCGTTGGAGGAGCCACAAGCCCACAAGCTTAACCTTCATGGGTCCTCTTAAAGAGTTTTATTAATCTTTTTAACGGCTTTGCATGATTATTATTGCTAGTAAAATCATGTCCGTTTATTTTCCTCAAACATCCTGCTATCAAAAAACGCGTGTCGCATTCCAAAATTTGTTCTTAACTTCAAAATCTTTCTATCCTACATTTCACCATCACAATGATAAACGATAAGCATATAAATTCACACATGTAACACCTCATTTTTCTCATATTATAGTAATCATTATCGTTCTTTGCACATCTATGTCTATATTCACCTACTTCAAAGTTCAATCTACTACTTTCATAGTTGTGTCCTTCCGCTACACCTTAGAATCAGTATCAGCTCTGCTCTTCCGACGTTTCTTCCTCTCAAGCTTACTGGCAACCTCTTCTGAGCTTCCACTTTGGTCGCTACAACAAGCGGAAGTATTGTCAACACATTGTGAGCTTCTGAGTTGGTCGATAGGTTTTCCGAGCGTACAAAAGGACGTAGCAGTCCTAATGAGAGTGTATCAGGCTGTACGAAGAGAACATTGTGATCTCTCGATTTCAAAACTTGAAGAACTCTGGGGAACTTGGTGTCTTCTAAGATGGTTTTTGCGATGACCATCAAATTTGAAGGTTCAGGATGGTCTAGTGTCCAGATAAGAATGTCGATTAACATCTGATTAACTCTCGTACATGGACCCCCTGAAACTTCGGGTGGGTAGTAGACTCCGGCATACAGATATTCACGCCGCAATGTTTCCGTAATCTCACTCTTCCCACCATAAACCCGTATTTCCATGGTCCTATCACGATAGTCCTCATTAGCAAGAGTTGTTTCGACAGTCTCATAAACCGAAACAGGATCGTGACCATCAGGCGCTGGAGAATCCTCCACGTCCCAGAAGACCCCTATTTTAGCCCCTGCGAGAGGTTTCAAAAAAAACAATTACGAAAAGAACAATCAGATCGTGAATACAATTTGCTTAGATCCATTAAAATCTAGTAAAACATATCTGTTTAGATCCGCCAATTCACTAAGACAGATCGATCAGATGAAATCTAAACAAACAATTTCAAAGGATGAGATAAAGAGAGTAATCTTACTGGAGAAATCTCTGCTCGTGGTTTCAACTGGAACTGGCGATGGAGATGGCGATAGCGACGGCGACGGCGACGGAGATGGCGATGGCGACGGCGACGGCGATGGAGACGGCGACGGCGTTGGTGATGGTGATGGCGCGATGTATAATTGACTGTACTTGTTAGTACAATAACGATTATCGCTCATGGTTTCGACTGGGAAGATAATGAGAGAAGAGTATTAGGGTTCGATAGGCTATAAGAGAGATCTCACTGTCAGGGTTATTATCTCTCTCTCCAGTCTTTGAATTCAATATTCGAAGAATTCGTTATTGATCGGATGGATGATTGTCTTAGCTTACATTATTAATAGCCAAAAGGCTTAAGAAAATTTCCTTTTTATAAAGTACAGCTAGCACTTTTTACCACATGTAAGGGGGTAACACATAATCCTAATGGAAAAAAACCCGAAAAAACCGCCATCTATTTTTTTTTTTGGCCGTTTAATATGCGTGTTATTAAAGTTGGAATAAAAATGCATGGTTTAATTTCAATTGCCTTTTAAAATCGCCGTGTTTTAAAACTTGGTATAATCATACACCCGCGTTAACAGTCGTTAACTCTACTAACGGAATGACTAACCGCGGTTAATACTTAACCCATGGTGTTAACGTGTATATATATACAATCTCTTTTTAAAACTTAACGAATATATCGTCTTAGTCAAGTGGCTAAACGTTTTCCGACTACCCTAGTGGACCTGGGTTCGATGCCTACCTTCTTCCCTTTTTGATAATTATACTTTTGGGTTTCAATTAGGAAAAATGTTAAAACTATCACGGCAGATGGTCGTCGTGTCGGGATTAAAAAAGCTCTGGTTTTTTACGCCGGAAAAGCTCCCAAAGGCACTAAAACAAACTGGATTATGCACGAGTATCGCTTAATCGAGCATTCTCGTAGCCATGGAAGCTCCAAGGTAAATAAAGATTGAAACTTTCCCAGATCTAAATTCTTCAAAACTGAAATCCAAATCGTTAATTTTGTTAAATTTTGTTTCTTTGTTGGATGATTGGGTATTGTGTCGAATTTACAAGAAAACATCTGGATCTCAGAGACAAGCTGTTACTACCCCGGTTCAAGCTTGTCGTGAAGAGCATAGCACGAATGGGTCGTCATCGTCTTCTTCGTCTCAGCTTGACGACGTTCTTGATTCGTTCCCGGAGATAAAAGATCAGTCTTTTAATCTTCCTCGGATGAATTCGCTCATTTATAATGAAGTTAAAAAAAAAATTAAAGAAAAAATTAAAAACATATGAAAAGAGACGACGGGAGGCATCGAACCCAAGTCCACTAGGGTAGTCGGAAAACGTTCAGCCACTTGACTAAGACGATATATTCGTTAAATTTTAAAAAGAGATTGTACATATATACACGTTAACACCATGGGTTAAGTATTAACCGCGGTTAGTCATTCCGTTAGTAGAGTTAACGACTGTTAACGCGGGTGTATGATTATACCAAGTTTTAAAACACGACGATTTTAAAAGGCAATTGAAATTAAACCATGCATTTTTATTCCAACTTTAATAACACGCGTATTAAACGGCCAAAAAAAAATAGATGGCGGTTTTTTCGGGTTTTTTCCCTAATCCTAATTAATACTAGTAACTTTAAAAATCATACCAGGTCAATGACTTTGACTGCGCTTTTCTCATATATGGCTTTTAATTTTATTTCTTTTTCAATTGCCTATTAACAAAACAAATCAATTAGAAAAACGTTTAAAATTAATAATAAAGATTTACTAAATAAACAAACATTAACATTATAAAATATGTATAAATCAATAGATTTGTTTGAGAATTGAGATGATATTACATTATGTCGACAATGTCTCTTTATATAGTGATGGATGGAATGGATGACTTGAGTATTCAATACGTTTTTAGATATTGACTAAATCTTCCAAATAAATTTTCTTCAGCAATCTAAAAGCATTTTCTTAACATTTGATGAGCGATCCCAACATTTGATGAGCTCTTCTAACAATATCCCACCTCTCTCTCTCGCGTCCTCGGACCAATCTCTCCTTTTTTAACTACGGCTCGTAAACTCTTCTTCTTCCACCAATTCATCTCAAACAACAACAAAAGTAGAATTAAGACCACACACTGTGTTTTCAAGTTGTAACGTGAAGTCAACGAAACACCATTGCGGAGTAAGACTTCCTTGGTCTAAAAATTAAGCTTCCAATTAGTTGCATGGTACATCTTAGTTAAATTATAACTTAAAACATTCAGAATATCTATTTCCTCCTAATTAATACCATTGTAGGCCTTGATTGGAGACACTCTTGGCGGTCACTGCTTCCCACCATTTTCTTAGTCCACACCAACAAATTCAAACAAACAACAGGCAATGAACAATGGTCTACAAATGATTAGCTGGAGGTTATGTAATACACTACAGATCAAAGACTAGAAAGAAATCATCAAGTAGGACTTGAACCAAAAGAGACCAACTTGACCATTTACCAGTCACTTGTTGGTCCAAAAAAGATTAAGATCTGCTTGGTACCCATATTTTCTCACGAGACAAATTTGATTAAACATGTTATGAAATTAAGCAATCTTGGAGAAATTGAAGAATTCATTAGGACGAGCAGAGCATTTGAACCCAATACAGAGAACAAGATGAAATGTCAATGTTTTTATTATACACACAACCCAAAGACTCTTCAGAGAGTTAAAGACAAAAAAAAAACAAGGGATCATTTAAAGGAAAAGTGATCATTGTAGTTACTTTCGTTCTTGCGCTACTCATCAGATTGTGAGCTTCCGGTTTGGTCGATAGGTTTTCCTCCATCTACTAGGCTTTCCCAAAGCCATAATGAGCTTACAAAGTGAAGCTCATTTTGTGATGCGACATCATAATCAGAACCTGCTAAGAGAATGTTGTAACCTCTACATTGCAAAATTCGAAGAACCCTGAGGAAACCCTCCTCTTGTGAGATGTTTTTGGAGATAACCATCACATTTGGCAGTAGTACAGGATAATCTGAAGGATTGTTCAATGCCCAGAAAAGAACGTCGCTCATCATCCTATAAACTCTCGCACATTTATCTCCTTCGGGTACAACAATGGTTCCGGCAAGTAGAAACTCATCCCGGATCTTGTTCTTCTCACCATAAGCCTTAATTTCCACAATACCACGATAACCCTTTTTCGCAAGAGCTGATTTGATTTTCTGATAAACCCAATCAGGATCGTGACCATCAGGGACCTGGAAATCCTCGACGTCCCAGAAAACGCATGTGTGAGCAGAGATCTTACACTTCTTACTGGATAAATCTCTGCTCATAATTTCGACGGAGATTACTTGCTAAGAGAGTGGTAGAGCGGAAGTACGAAACGGAGCTTGTTTCTCAAGTTTCCCGACAAACTAGAGACAACAAGAAGAGGATACCGAAGAAACAGAGGTTTTGATGAAGCGGACGAAGCTTGTTTCTCAAGTTTCCGAGAAGCTAGAGAAAACAACAAGGAGACTCTGTCTTTTCACTGAAGAATTAAAGGTTTGAGAATTGCCTCTCTACAAGGCATTAGAGGACTATTTATAAGAAAGCTTAGCTTCTAGTTCCTAAGGTAATTAGGAAAACCTAAATCAAATAAAAGTAAAATCCAAGATAAATAGAAAATTGCAGAGAAATAAAAAAATCTGCAGAGAAAAGGATAAGCAACTAGGCCTGGGCATATTATCCGAACCCAAAGAACCGAACCGAACCCGACCCGAAAAACCCGATCCGAATCCGAATCCGAAGTTTTAAAATACCCGAACGGGTTCTAAACTTCACAACCCGAAAATCCGAACCCGAACCCGACCCAAACCCTAACCCGAACAAGTACCCGAACATACCCGAAATATAAGTACATAGTTATAATATATTAGTAATATTTATACTTGTAAAAATTTAAGTGCCTAAATTATTTGGATGTTAAAATTTTTTGGGTGTTTAGTTACTTTTGGCTAGATTCGGTTAAAAAATACTTGGGTTTTATAGATATTTGAGTATTTTTCAATACTTTGCAAAGAGTCGGATACAAAATTTTTAATATTTGGATACTTCGGGTAAACCCGAATCCGAACCCGAAATATCCGATCCGAACCCGACCCGAACCCAAAGTTTTAAAATACCCGAACGGTTCTTAGTTTTTTATACCCGAAAAATCCGAACCCGAAAAACCCGACCCGAACCCGACCCGAATATCCGAACGCCCAGGCCTATAAGCAACTAAGAAGAAAATAGAAAACGTTTAAACTTGTGTGACACGATAAGAATGTTGCATCATAGAGAGACGACTGTTACATTAGCTTCACCTCACTATCTGGTGCAGTTGGAGCAGAAGAAGAACTCCCTTGAGCTTGGTATATACGCAGTCGTTTCAACAATAAACGTTTTATACCCTAAGATCAAAGCTCCCACATATACCAATCGTTCGATCTGTTTTTATTGGCCACGTGTCAGCATCCTCACAGTTTGTTTATGAAGTCGTAGAGCATCTCCAACGGGGGATTCTCTCAAAATATTTGGGAGGTTCTCTTGAAAAAGTGGAGGAAAAATAAATCAAAATGACAAAAATAGAAGAGAGTTGGTTCTCTTCAGAGGCTTTTGAGAACTCTAGAGAGGCGACTACGTGTCAGCAACCTATTGGCTGAAGCATTAAAACAAAAGAAAAAAAAAAAAGCCTCTCATTTTACTTTGTTTTCTCCGCAACAAAAAAACTGTGTTTCTCTCCTTTGCGATTTTTTCCAAAAAACTGATGAAGAGATTTTTCCGATGAATCCGTCGATAGAGGCTAAAATTCTCTCCGAAATTGCGGTGGGTGAGAGGTATTGCAGTCGGAATCTTCATCTTCATCTATGTATCTCTCAATCGCTCTACTTTTGTTCATTTGAGAAGAGATAGATTTATGCATTGAACGATTGATGGGTTAGTTGATGATCCATTGGACTGTGGAAGTTATCAGTGTGTCTTTAACTTTCTCATGATGCGTTAGAGATTTGTGAAAGTTCGAATCTGGGTTTTGGTTAGTCGCTGTTTCTTTGTTCTGATTTGTGAAAATATTTAAATATCTCATCTTAGTTTTGAGAATTGGTACTCTTGCAAAAGAAAGTTTTAATATTTTCCTCAACAATCCTTTTCTCTTGCTTTTCGATTGGTAACAATGTGTAATTGCAGTTTCGTGGATGATTCTCTAGATCATTAATCAGAACTAGGTCATGCAAATGTAGTGTGCAAATAGGAGAAGATGGTTGGCCAATTTAGAGTTTCTCAGAAAACATTTTTTTCCTTCAAGTTGTTTCTAGTTAGTTTGTTTCTTTAGATTCTTCTGATTTGGATATCAATTGGGTTTGTCATATATCCACTATTGTTACTCGTTTTTGATAGCTTGGGTTAGATAAGGTTGTTGATAAGTGTTGGATTGTCTATGATGCTTCAGAGATTGTTTGAATGAATCAGTTTTCGTTTTAGCTTTTGTGTTCTCTGATTTCGTATTAGCTTTGAGACCAAGGAGCATAGAAAACAAAGTTGTTGTTGTTGCGGAAGTCAGAGAAGAATGTTTGGCCAACGATAGAAGCAGGGAAGGTAAAACAAGTGATTCACAAGTATTTACCATTGTCCCAAGCAGCAGAAGGTCATAGCCTTATGGAGATTAGTAACCACATTGGTAAGATTCTCTTTGCGACCTAATCCTCTGAAAAGGGAGAAATGTTTAAATCTAGTCGAGTGTGTTCATAGATGTACAAGACTTGGAGTTTGTTTTGTTGGCTTTATGTATCTCTGATTTTGTGATAGACTCTGTAACTATGAAACATATATATAACGAGCTGTTTTATAAATCAAATAATGTGTAATCAAGAACGATAAGATTCCATACTAAGAATCACAATTTGTGGAAATAAACCAACATTGGCTTCTGAATGTATAAATCAAGAAAGGAAATTTATCAAAAATGGGAAAATGTCATCTTAATTGGTTTTGAAGTGAGGCAATTCACTAATTTTTGTTTATGACTTGGTGTATTATTTTAGTTAAATGTTTTGGTGTACTATTTTTGTTTTAATTTAGCTCATGATTTATGACAAAATTACAAAATTATATTTTTATAGTTATATATTTAACTAAAAATTATTACTAGCTCATGATTTATGACAAAATTATATTATTATAATTATGCATTATTTTGTCATATATGTTTAATATTTTATGAATTGCAATAATTATTAAGTTTTATGAAAGAATATTTTTAATAATTTTTTTTTCCTAAGAGAACCTTACTAGAGAACCTACCATTGGACTATAAATTTTTTTTAAAAAAAACAAAAGTTCTCATCTCACATTTTCAAAAAATTTATAATAAAAAATTTGAGAGAGTCTCTTGGAGAGAGCTCCCCATTGAAGATGCTCTTACTCAGCTTCGCAACACCATCTTCATCAAGTAAAAGATATTCACATATACGATCGCCCTTGGGAAAGCAGTGTGAAGATAAGCTAAAAGCAGTTGCAATCTCCTCCGCAATATTTATTTTTGTTTTCCACGACACTAGCATTTTTAGATCTATTTAAGAATATTGTTTCTTTTCACCATGATAATCCATGCATGAGCGGAGAGATTCAAACTCAAGACAACATCCCACCAATTTCATGTGACTACTATCCATCAATGAGATCGCTATGTCACAAGCACATTTGATTTTTTTTTTTTTTTTTTTTTTTGTCATTGTTCCATTGGTTCTTTGCTACAATTTAGGAGACTAGAAACAAAACTAAAATTCTGTTTGGTAATACTATAAAAAAAAAATCTGCAAAATAAATGATTTAGTCTCTAACCAAAAAAAAAAGTAATTAAAAACAGAGGAATGACTAACTTCAATTTCTGTAGACTATAGTTAAAACTTACAAGCAATGTTTTACATAAATCATTTTTAAATTATACGTAAAAATGTTGGCGCCTCAATATTTCAGGTTCGATTCCCATTGTTCTTCTTAGAATTGGATAATTTAGTCCACATTGACAAACAAAAAAAAATCATAATATGTATAAGGATGCGTCAAGTGTATGCATATTATATTGTTGTTAAAAAAAAAAAAGTATATGCATACGTTTCTAACAGATTTTGTCTGGCAGTCAACTATTTGTTATGAATATGTACAATCACATATAAAGAATAGCATGTGACTATGCTACGTGAATTTAGGCAAAGGATCTTACATAAGGAAAGTTGTAACCAAACTCAACAACCCTTATTTGTTTTTTTTTTTTTTTTTGTCATCTGAAATTAATTAGAGCTCAACAACCCTTATTATTCTTTTTGTTATCTTTTTCCCTTTGCTGCAAAATATATTGGATAATTTGAATAAAGCTGTGAGCAAAGTACATCTAAAAATAACTAGATGATGAAATTGTTCTTTAGTTTGTTTTGATTCTTCGTTTATTTCAATATTAAAAGAAAATTTGGTTAGATAGATCAACCACTTCAACAATACTGAAAATAAAATTTTGAACTTTTACTGAAAATAAATTTAGGTATTAGAATACTAAAGAATTTAACGTGTTAAATATCATTTAATTTATACAAACCACGAAATACTCTCGCACTTTACACCGCGCATATATAAACAATCAGAACCATACCAAACCATGTGAATAGAATCACAAAGAGGTCATGCTTTGCAAGAAAAAAACAAAAGGCATCGGCTAAGAGAAAGGCAAAAAGAGGAAGAAGTGAACGGGAAAATTGAAAACGTATGGAACAAAGTGGAGACACTTTACGCTAAGGCCGGGCATTGAAAAAAGATTGAGGATTTGTCCTGACCGTGCTAACACATTAACTTGAAACTACAACAATTTAGAAATCCATTAGCGATTGTGCCATGTTGAGATACTGGCACAATCTGTACTCTCAAGAAAAAGCAAAGCAATTTTTGGTCATCTTCTTTGTCACATCATGACCATCCTTCTCCAATTACATACTCTTCAAAGTTGTAAGATATGCCTGTACGCCAATTTATTATTGGTAAAACCATTTCGGCAGTCGTCAATGAGTACTGTTAAGAATTTTGTAACATGTTTTGTTTTGTATTCATCTGAAATAAATGTTGATTTGAAATATTTGGATGTTACATTTCCATATTTAAAAAGAAATATCCTTTTTAACTTAACATACAAACATTATAATTATTGGAAAGTCCAGCTAGCACTTTTAACCACATGAAAAGGGGAAACACATAATCCTAATTAGGACTAATCACATCTTGGTAGTGTATAGATCAATTTCCGGCAGACGTTTTTTTTTTCCCCTTGCCCATTGCATAGTTCAAATTTCGATATAACAAACAAACCTTCGATGACAAAAAAAAAAAAAAAAAAACAAACAAACCTTCAGATGTTGGTCAATTCGATCGATTAGAAGAGATAGGGGACGTTTTGGAGTATGAAAACAAATAGAGGGGCTAAAATCAAATAACAAGAAAGAAACGCTTCTGCCGTGTTCGAAAGTTTATGTGTGTCCTCGTGATCATCTCCGTATATAATCAATCAATCAATAAAAATCCAGAGTTACACACTCCTACAATTTTCCAATCGCTCCCATTAATTTTGCGATTTTTTCTTTTAATTCTACCTTTTTTTTTTTTTTTTTTTCTGGTTGGCATATTTATTTTTCCCTTTTAAAAAAATTCCGCAACTTGTCTTGAAATCTGGGGTAAAAATTTCTGCAATTGGTTTCTGGAAATCTCGGGGAACGATTTGTGGATTTTCTTTATACTCTCTCCTCACATTAGCTTTGGTTGGATTTTCTGAGGACATTTCTCCATGGTGATTGCTGCAGCTGTCATCGTGCCTTTGGGCCTTCTCTTCTTCATATCTGGTCTCGTTGTCAATCTCTTTCAGGTTTGGTTTCTGATTTCCCCAAGCTTCTTTTTAGGTTTGTCTGATTCGTTTCTGGTGTTACTCGTTTTATGTTCTACATTGTAGATCCTTTCTTCTTTTTACCTCTTTCGTATTGATTCACTGCTTTTAGGGTTTCCTTCTCCAGAAGTTTGATTCTTTCGTTTTTTGTCGGTGATTATGTCTTAATTTCGAGTGTGTATGTGTGTGAGAGAGATAGAGAGAGAACACATATGAATAAGCTCAAAATCGACTTGTGGAGCTCATGCACTGAGCTAAAGAGTGTTGTTTGAATCTGCGATTAAGTATCACTTTGTTCTGATTTATGTTGATTTTACAACATTTATATCCCAAATTTTCTTATTTCAACAGTTTTTTAGGTTTTGGGTTCGAGGAAGGAATCTTTATGTCTATGTGTCAAAGACCCTTTTTTCTCTCAACTTTGTTTGCTTAACTACATATTGTTTCAGGCAGTTTGCTATGTCCTCATTCGGCCACTGTCTAAGAACACATACAGAAAAATTAACCGGGTGGTTGCAGAAACCTTGTGGTTGGAGCTTGTATGGATAGTTGACTGGTGGGCTGGAGTTAAGGTATCCACAAGCTTTCTCCTTTTGAGTAAATTGTTACTAAGCAGACCTGCGCTTGGATATACATAAGATTTTGTTTATCTTATCTTACTATATGAGTTCCTCTGATATTTCTTGTGTCTTTTGCCTTAGATCCAAGTGTTTGCTGATAATGATACCTTCAATCGAATGGGTAAGTTCATATACTTATAGGCAATCAAAACAGTTTCTGATGTCTTCAATAATAAAAATTCCTGTATAAGAACGAATCTGTAACTTCAGTGACTGTCCTACAATTTTCTTCCAGGCAAAGAACACGCTCTTGTCGTTTGTAATCACCGAAGTGATATTGATTGGCTTGTGGGATGGGTTCTGGCTCAGGTGCATAATTTAATCTCACAGTTTCATCTATCTTCCTTCTACAACAACGTTTTTGTTTCAATTCATATATGGAGATCAACATAATATACTTCTTGATGAGCAAGCTTGTATACTTGCAATGGGACCATGTATTGCTTCCTAGTTTCTAGTGAATAGAGATTCTCTTAGGTAGAAGGTGACAGTCCCTAGTGATCCTCTGATGAGATAAGAGAGAGTATAGAATCATCATATTTTCTCTAACAGGCTCCATGTTATGCTGTTTACAACTTTTAATTTATTGTTTCATATTTTCTTTCCTTGCAGCGGTCAGGTTGCCTGGGAAGCGCATTAGCTGTAATGAAGAAGTCTTCCAAATTCCTTCCAGTATGTGAATATATTAGCTTACTGCTGTGTGCTTGCTAGATTTGAGAGAAAATAGTAATCTTTAATTCTATTTCTGAATCTCTGCTATAAGTTAGAAATTTGATACCTGACTTTGGGTTTGAGAAAAAGATCACATGTTTTAGGTTAATACATTTCTTCTCCTTTTTTATCCGTTACATAGCTATAGCACTCATAAACAGAATTTTCACACACATACAGGTCATAGGTTGGTCAATGTGGTTCTCGGAGTATCTGTTTCTGGAAAGAAATTGGGCCAAGGATGAAAGCACTCTAAAGGTATGGGTTTATATTATTCTTGTGCAACTCATTTAGTTTTTGCTCCCGTGTAAAATGCTTATTAGCACATGGATCTACCTCGTTCACGAGGGGATTAGCCTGAAATGCAGAATCTTCATTTCCAGACCAAGAGTTATGTGTGTGTTTTCTAAATTTACAGTCAGGTCTTCAGCGCTTGAGCGACTTCCCTCGACCTTTCTGGTTAGCTCTTTTTGTGGAGGGAACTCGATTTACAGAGGCTAAACTTAAAGCCGCACAAGAGTATGCAGCCTCCTCTGAATTGCCTATCCCTCGAAATGTGTTGATTCCTCGCACCAAAGTAAGTTGTAATATTCTTGTTTTTGCTCATTACTGGGGCACACTATGACCTTTAAAGAGCAAAATGATTACTATGATTGATCCAAAATATCAATGCATGTGTAACCTTTATACGTTCCATCAGATCGACTTGGTGGTTGTTATTGTGTTTTGTGCTCTAATTACTAGACTTGCTTGTATTTTTGTTTCAGGGTTTTGTGTCAGCTGTTAGTAATATGCGCTCGTTTGTCCCAGCCATTTATGATATGACAGTGACTATTCCAAAAACTTCTCCACCACCCACGATGCTAAGACTATTCAAAGGACAACCTTCTGTGGTAAGCAAGTAAAAATATGAATAGTTCGTATAGCAGTTGAATCTTTCACTCTCCTCACAATGATTTCAAAGTATTTACTGCCTTGGATCACATCACCATCCATTTTCTTTCACTGGAACTGAAACGAGCATAACTTATATCACCTTTGTTTGCATAATGTGTAAGAAACCGTAGGAATCGCACGCATTCCAAAGCATTTTTTAACTCCTGACCCCATTATCGCAAACCACTGCTACTGGTTTCAGGTGCATGTTCACATCAAGTGTCACTCAATGAAAGACTTGCCTGAATCAGATGACGCAATTGCACAGTGGTGCAGAGATCAGTTTGTGGCTAAGGTAAAAATTATGGATGTACTGGTATTTCCACTTTTCAGTTATTGGCAACAATACTTGGTCAAGATTTGATAGAGAAAAGCTACGAAAAACTTTAATTTTGATATTTTCTCATCTCGGCTGTGTGATACAGGATGCTCTGTTAGACAAACACATAGCTGCAGACACTTTCCCCGGTCAACAAGAACAGAACATTGGCCGTCCCATAAAGTCCCTGGCGGTGAGTCTATAAAAGTCATAACGTTCTCTTGGTGCCATCCATAAACTCACAAATCTTTTGATCTGTTTTTCAGGTGGTTGTATCATGGGCATGCGTACTAACTCTTGGAGCAATAAAGTTCCTACACTGGGCACAACTCTTTTCCTCATGGAAAGGTATCACACTATCAGCGGTCGGTCTAGGTATCATCACTCTCTGTATGCAGATCCTGATACGCTCGTCTCAGTCAGAGCGTTCGACCCCAGCTAAAGTCGTTCCAGCCAAGCCAAAAGAACATAACCACTCAGAACCAGAACCATCCTCCCAAACAGAAATGGAGAAGCAGGAGTAAAAGCTGGTTCTCACAGATCAAACATCAAACACAAGAAGAAGCAAGCGCATGTCAGTTTTGTTATAAGAAACATAAACCAAAAAAAAAAAAACATCTCAAGTGAAATCCCTTAATATTATCAACTCCGTTTTGTTCAGCTACTATGTATTACTCTACTACGCAGCCTATGTCTCTTAGTCGATTGATGTATAGGGTCATGATCAAATCAACGATTTAATCCCTATAGACCTTGGGATTTTTTTCTCAAGTGCATAGGCCTTGTATAACTTTCTATTTTTAGATTGGAATTTGGGATTGATATTAGACTTTCTATCTTTAAAAACTGTTTTTTTTTTCCCTTCTTTCTCGTTGATAGTGTAGAATTATTAGAACAAATTATTTAGACACATATTAAAAGAAAAAACAGAATTCCGTTCATGTAAAATAATTTTCTGATTAGACAAATTCACCTAAACTATTGGGTTATGCGGGTAACATTTTTTTTTGTTTCCATTTTGGAGAAGAAAAAACAGAAATCCGTAGATGGAATTAATTGTGATTAGACAAATTCTACTACAGTACTGGGTTATGTATATGACGGTGATTACAGGGAGAAAAACGTAAAATAACAGGTTTTTAATTTCCATATTTTAGACACGAACACATTTTCTTTTTATTTTTAATTTTATTTCCTCAACCCTAAAACCCTTTCACGCTGATTTTGAAAAGGAAAAAAAAAAAAACCCTTCAAGGCCGGTTGCTCGCGCCGCTTTCTCTCTCTCTTTCAAACTCCGATCAAAGTCCCCAGTCGTATCAATTGATAAACCCTGATTGTCTCCGTTCTTGTTGAAAACCTAATCTGGTGGACACAGTCGCACAGTTAACACACATCCTCTGAACCGGCACCGACGCAATGGCTCACGTTCAAACCACAGAGGTGTGTTTGAGTTTTCACCGCTCCGTATTGTTTCCCATGGTGTTCGGTTCCTGTTTTTGTTCGGCTTTGGATGGTTTATCTTATGCTTTCGAGGTTTTGTTTTATCCAGGGAGCTTCCCAGGTGGTTGAATCTGTTAGATTCAGTTTCATGACAGAGCAAGATGTTCGAAAGCATAGTTTTCTGAAAGTTACGAGTCCTATATTACTCGATAACGTGGGCGAACCTTATCCTGGTGGTCTCTATGATCCTAAACTTGGTCCTATAGAGGATAAAAAAGCGTAAGTTTTCTTCCATATGTTTTACCATGGTTTGGTTTTTATAAAGACCTTCTTTTTACACTTGTCTCCGCTTTGAATTGTCGATTCTAAGTTGGTTAGGGATAATAGATATTTGGTAGCAGCTACAGCTGATCATACACCGTTTCGTTTGGAAGTAGCTTTTGATCTTTACTTATCTGATAATCTTGTTTAGAGTTCCGCATTATGTTTGGTCTTTTTTCTTTGCTTAATCTAAAGCTTTTCTTGTCCTCTTAATGCAGTTGTGATACATGTGGTCAGCTCAATCTTGCTTGTCCAGGACATTGTGGTCATATCGAGCTTGTCTATCCTATTTACCATCCTTTGCTCTTCAATCTTCTTTACAATTTTTTGCAGAGGACCTGTTTCATCTGTCATCATTTTATGGCAAAACCTTACGATGTAAGATATACATGAGATAAGTTTCACATAGTTGCATCTCATTCGCACTTACTAATGTGTTTCATGCTCCATTCTCTCTCTCTCTTTTTTTTTTTTTCAATTTAAGGTTGAAAGAGCTGTTTCTCAGCTGAAACTCATCATTAAAGGTGATATAGTTTCTGCAAAGCAATTGGAGTCCAACACCCCCACTAAGTCAGATTCTAGTGATGTAAGCTGTGAATCAGGTGTAACCACTGATTCATCCGAAGGATGTGAAGATTCTGACATGGAAGATCAGAGATGGACATCTCTTCAGTTTGCTGAAGTCACTGCTGTCATGAAGAATTTTATGAGGTTGTCATCAAAGTCGTGTAATAGATGCAAAGCAGTAAATCCTCAACTAGAGAAGCCTATGTTCGGATGGGTTCGCATGGTATGTCCTCTTGAAAGTTATTGGATATTCTCGTATCAGATTTTGTTCTTCCAAAGTAAATTTATTATGGTATGCTAAAATGAGAATTTAGTCTTTGTTCTGTTATTGGCAGAAACAGACTACATTTTTGTTATTTTAGAGTCTTTTGGAGTTGTAGGTCTTGGGTTGTTCCATTTAGCCCTGATGCTTGCTCTGTAGTTTAGTGTGCGTATGAAAACTGTCTTAGGAACCATGATTAGCCGAATCCCTTCAAGTTCACTATGTTTCTGTTTTATCATTTTCTTTTTTATCTTAGGAGCAATAACTTTCACAATTGATTTTGGCACTGGAAGATATTTTACTTTGACAATAGTTTTATTTAACCCTTCTCATTTCTGTCGTATTATTTCTTCCTTGACATTCTATTCGTTTGGAAGATTAAACAAAGACTGACACATATAGGAACAAAGACTGACACATATAGGACCTCGTACTTTTTTTTGTATTGATTCTAGAGAATGTATTTGTTGCCCCCATACTCCTGTAGTTTGTCCCTAATAAAGGTCTATTCGTGGACATTATATATAACATGTGTGCACTGGATTGCCAAAGTGAATTTTCCATGTCCAGCATGTTTCTGTGTTTTTTTTCTTGCTTTCAATTCTCTATGTTATGCTCCTCCTTGATATCAGCAAAAGCTGTGATATTCCTTTCGATAACGATCTTTTTAAACAGAAAGCAATGAAAGGATCCGACATTGTAGCTAATGTAATTCGAGGGCTTAAGCTAAAGAAGTCCACTAGCAGTGTTGAAAATCCAGATGACTTTGATGATAGTGGCATCGATGCATTATCAGAAGTTGAAGATGGTGATAAAGAGACAAGAGAAAAGTCTACAGAAGTAGTGAAAGAGTTTGAAGAGCATAACAATAGTTCTAAAAGAGACCTTTTGCCGACTGAGGTTTGTTTCTAGTATGACTTAACTTTATAATTAGGCATGGTCAAAATGTTCCAAATTTGTAATAGTTTATTGCTATTGATACACTTGTATCAGGTCAGGGAAATCTTAAAAGATCTGTGGGAGAATGAGCACGACTTTTGCTCCTTCATTGGTGATCTTTGGCAGAGTGGATCTGAAAAAATTGACTACTCTATGTTCTTTTTGGAGAGTGTTCTAGTGCCCCCTATTAAATTTAGACCTTCAACAAAAGGAGGTGATAGTGTGAGTAACTCCTTACAAATGATACTGTTTGGGCGCTTCTATATCCTATCTAATTTTTGAAGTTACTTTTAATTTTATAACTTTTGGCGTTGCCTCTGTGCGTCACTTTCTGTCCATGTTCTCTCAATTTTCCTTTTTCATTTTTATATCTCCTGTATTAACAAATGGGTGTTCCCATTAACTCCTGTAGGACCATAATTCTTTTAGGATTTTGTTTCTTTCAGGTTATGGAACATCCTCAAACCGTAGGACTAAATAAGGTCTTAGGTTCCAATATACAACTCGGGAATGCGTGTACTAACAAATTAGATCAGTCTAAGATAATTTCTAGATGGATGAATCTTCAAGAATCAGTCAATGTCTTGTTTGATAGCAAAACTGCGACAGGTTAGCTTCTTACGAATTCCCTTGTTTGATATGCATCTATTACTAAAGAGCTTCCTTAGTTTTCTAGCTATGTATAGTGTAGCAACTGGCTGCCCCACTTTCCTATCTGTTGTCTTATTGACTTGACAGCCTCTTTTGAGCATCTTGTATTGGTGTAGACTGACTATTATCCCTAATTTCCTTTACAGTTCAAAGCCAGAGAGAGGGCTCTGGAATATGTCAATTGCTGGAGAAGAAAGAGGGACTATTTCGGCAAAAAATGATGGGAAAGAGAGTGAATCATGCATGCAGATCTGTGATATCTCCAGATCCTTATATCGCTGTTAATGACATCGGAATTCCTCCTTGTTTTGCTTTGAAATTGACGTATCCCGAGGTATGATGTCATATATCAGTAAATTGCACTTGTTATCTGACACATCATTACTTGCCTGAATTCGACCAGTAATCTTTGGCTGTTAAATCACACGTCCCAACAGGCTTAGATGGATAAAATATTGGTTTTTTTCATCTGAAGAGTCTTATGATGACAACAACTGTTACTTTTACTTGTAATATTTGAAAATTTTTATACGTAGTCTCATTCCAAATTTGATATCCTATCAGATTTTACATCATTTTCCTTTTTTGCCATTATTGTGTGGAGATGGCTTGTGGCTATGCTTAGATGTACAAAAATACTTGTTCAACCTATAGTGGAACCTTATGTTTGTTTTTCCGATAGTGAAAGTTAAGTGTATTTCTGCAGAGGGTGACTCCTTGGAATGTGGAGAAGTTAAGGGAAGCTATCATTAATGGTCCTGATATTCATCCTGGAGCTACACATTACTCTGACAAATTATCTACAGTGAAGTTGCCTTCTACCGAAAAAGCACGAAGAGCAATTGCAAGAAAATTACTGTCCTCACGAGGAGCCACTACAGAACTTGGGAAAACTTGTGATATCAACTTTGAAGGTAAAACTGTCCATCGACATATGCGAGATGGTGACGTCGTCCTTGTGAATCGTCAGGTGTGGACACATATTGTTTTATTTCATCAATATTGCCTATCTAAAATCTTTCTCAAATTTTGTGAAGTCCTGTACTTGGGGTTTTCCAGGACGTTTTTTATTTCTTTCTTCAGTATTTAGTGCGGTCTCAGGCATTGTTTGGTCTACATCTTTTTGTCTGTGCCAAATGTGTATTTATCTTCTCAAGTATTTTTTTCTCTGGCAGCCAACATTACATAAACCTAGCTTAATGGCGCACATCGTCCGTGTTCTAAGGGGGGAGAAAACACTTCGTCTCCACTATGCAAATTGCAGGTAGACTCTGTGGATATAGAGAATTCCGACTCTCCCAGATGTCATTATTTACGTTGTTTGCAATCTCTTTTCAAATTTACATTTGTGGACCTTTACCATGTCTTGGTTGATTTTCCACATGCATTTGACTTTTATCTCGAAAGTGGCTTAAAATATTTGCTTTGTTGCCAGTACATACAATGCAGATTTTGATGGTGATGAGATGAATGTGCATTTTCCACAAGATGAGATTTCACGTGCTGAGGCCTACAATATTGTCAATGCTAACAACCAATATGCTAGGCCCTCTAATGGCGATCCTCTTCGAGCTTTAATTCAGGTTGTACTTCCATGCTATTTCTTCAAACCTTTAGTTTGCTCTATCCTTGTCTTGATTTCACGAATTGGGTTGTTTACCAGTGATGTTTATTGACTTTGTATTTTCTTAATAGGATCATATTGTCAGTTCCGTTTTGCTTACTAAAAGGGACACATTTTTGGACAAAGATCATTTTAATCAGCTTCTCTTCAGTTCCGGTGTGACTGACATGGTACTCAGTTCTTTTTCTGGAAGATCTGGCAAGAAAGTCATGGTATCAGCTTCTGATGCAGAACTGTTGACAGTCACGCCTGCTATTTTGAAACCAGTGCCTCTTTGGACTGGGAAGCAGGTAATCTTTATATGCACTGTTTTTTTTTTTTATCTTAGTTTTTAACCAAGCTGGTTTTCCCAACATGTGTGGCTATGTGCTTTTGGTATACAAACTGTATCTAGGGATTCATTAGTGGGTTCACTAAATATCATTATGCATCTAAAGAATGCTTTTACGTCTCATGAGCTGAGTTCTGGTTATGCGTCTCTGCTAGGTCATCACTGCAGTGTTGAATCAGATAACCAAAGGTCACCCGCCGTTCACCGTAGAGAAAGCTACCAAACTTCCAGTTGATTTCTTCAAATGTAGATCTAGAGAAGTAAAACCTAACAGTGGAGATTTGACCAAAAAGAAAAAGATTGACGAGTCATGGAAACAGAATCTTAATGAAGATAAATTGCTCATCAGAAAAAATGAATTTGTCTGCGGTGTGATTGACAAGGCTCAGTTTGCTGACTATGGGTTGGTTCATACAGTGCATGAGCTTTATGGTTCAAATGCTGCAGGAAATCTGCTCTCCGTTTTTAGTCGTCTCTTTACAGTCTTTCTTCAGGTTTGCTCTCGTGTTGTTGATAATTTTATTTTCATTTGTTACAGAGTTTTGCATCCTGAATCCTGGTTTTTACAACTTACAGATTCACGGTTTCACCTGTGGAGTTGATGATCTTATTATTTTAAAAGATATGGATGAAGAGAGGACGAAGCAACTTCAAGAGTGTGAAAATGTTGGTGAAAGAGTACTCCGTAAGACCTTTGGCATAGATGTTGATGTTCAGATAGGTATGTATATCTTGCATTAATGTGTGCATGCTTGCCACCATGGTTGTTTGTTACATTCTGGAGCACGAATGTCCCTTTGTATAGTATGAGGCATTGAAATTGTAGTTTATCAAATAAGCTTGATATCTAATCACCGATTATTCTGTCTTACCTGCAGATCCTCAGGACATGAGATCCAGAATAGAACGAATTCTTTATGAGGACGGGGAATCTGCTTTGGCATCTTTGGACAGGAGCATCGTAAATGATCTCAATCAGTGTTCAAGCAAGGGTGTGATGAACGATTTGCTGTCTGATGGGTTACTGAAAACACCCGGAATGAATTGTATATCGCTAATGACTATATCTGGGGCTAAGGGCAGTAAGGTGAGTTTGTAGTGCCTCCTTCAATTTTTATGGTGTATTTGATTATTCAAGTACGTATTTGCAGTATCTAAAAGTCGGTTTGTAGCTTATGTGTTCTTAGAACCCATCTTGTCATCCTTCTACAGATTTTTATCTCATGCCAACTTTACCAGGCTAAAACTTTTAATTTTTGAGGGAAAGGAGATAAACAAGTTGGTTTCCCAAAAGATAGATAGCTTATTCTCGTCAATTTGATATAGATTTACTTAGCTTATTCTCATCAATTTGATATTGATTTACTTTTGTTGTTTTTCCAATGGAGCCTATTAGAGCTGAAAGTAAATTTAACAACTTTCTCTGCATTCAACTGGGTGGAATTGCTAGCTCTAAACATCTGATACTATAGGGATATAGTTTGGTGGAGAGCAATTTACAATTTTTGGGAGGCTAAGCTTTATCATTTCCTTCTCTTGTTGTCGACTTTGAGCAGGTCAACTTCCAGCAAATCTCTTCGCATCTTGGCCAGCAAGATTTAGAAGGAAAAAGAGTTCCCCGAATGGTTTCTGGGAAGACATTACCTTGTTTCCATCCATGGGACTGGTCCCCTAGAGCTGGGGGATTTATTAGTGACAGATTCCTTAGTGGTCTTCGCCCCCAAGAATATTACTTCCATTGCATGGCTGGACGAGAAGGGTAACTAACACTTTTAACTGAAGTGTCATCTTATTCACATAAATTCTATGTTAATTACTCTTAAAAATAGTTTTTTCCAAAATAGATAGAAGGTGTTTCAAACTTCTTTTCTGATACACCAGATAGTGGAGCTGTCAAATTTTCTACTGTTCGACTTTAAAAGGATGTGATGCATGCTATTCTTTTAGGAATGCTGTTGCATTTCCAATTTTTGTGTGGGCATTCGCTTTGATATAACTGGTTTCTGTGTTAAACTTTTACTGGGTTGAGGTTTTCTGTTGTAGTCCCTATGATAATTTTGTTAAGAGTCGGTCAGCATCAGCTGGTTTGTCATCTTTATTTCGATTGTGAACACTTAAAAAATTCTGGTCTGCAGGTTAGTTGATACTGCAGTGAAGACATCACGTAGTGGGTATCTGCAAAGATGCTTGATGAAAAATCTTGAGAGCCTTAAAATCAACTATGATTGTACTGTCCGGGATGCTGACGGGTCCATCATTCAGTTCCAATATGGTGAAGATGGTGTGGATGTTCATCGGTCTAGCTTTATTGAAAAGTTCAAAGAACTGGCAATAGTAAGTATTCGTTTTTGAACGGTTTAGCCTTTTCCTTATCTGCTCTTGGGAAACTTATGTGGTTATTTTAACTTACTCTGGTTCAGAATCAAGATATGGTCCTTCAAAGATGCAGTGAAGACATGCTATCTGGAGCCAATAGTTACATCAGTGATCTGCCTATTAGTCTTAAGAACGGAGCTGAGAAGTTTGTAGAGGCAATGCCTATGAATGAACGTATTGCTTCTAAATTTGTGAGACAAGAAGAACTACTGAAGCTGGTGAAGTCAAAATTCTTTGCAAGTCTTGCGCAGCCAGGGGAGCCTGTAGGTGTACTTGCTGCTCAATCTGTAGGAGAGCCATCAACACAGATGACGTGAGTTGTTTTCCTTTCTTGTATTGTGGTCTTGCTAATCCTTTCACCGTTGCAAATTAGGAACTGAATCACATTGGTACTCATATTTATAAATCTTAAATTTCTAAATAATATGAGGATGCTTGCAGCTTTTTGCCTTTGCTTTTGCATCATTCATGAAATATTTGCTTATAAAATCCTTTGTTCTGTCAATTGACAGGTTGAATACTTTCCATCTTGCTGGACGTGGAGAGATGAATGTGACACTTGGAATTCCACGTTTACAAGAGATTTTGATGACAGCTGCAGCAGACATTAAGACACCAATAATGACATGCCCGTTGCTGAAGGGCAAAACAAAGTAAGTTGGTTTAGCTACGTTGGTGTTAACTATACGCTCAACTACTTGCATTAATAACATTAGAAAACAGGAAAATTGATGGCCAGCTTCTCTTAGAATTGCATTTTTTGTGGTGACATATTATATGAAAGTGTAACATTTTGGCCATTGACTGTCAACATCTTGGAGATATTACATGTTCAAAGATTCAACTTTTATGCTCTGTCGTTTGTGCAGGGAGGATGCAAATGATATCACTGGTAAGTTGAGGAAGATTACGGTGGCAGATATAATAAAGAGTATGGACCTTTCAGTTGTACCATATACGGTTTATAAGAATGAAGTTTGTAGTATTCACAAGCTTAAGATAAATCTCTATAAGCCAGAGCATTATCCGAAGCACACTGATATCACCGAAAAAGACTGGGAAGAGACGATGACGGTTGTGTTTTTGAGGAAGTTGGAGGACGCTATAGAGATCCACATGAAAATGCTCCATAGAATAAGGGGCATATGCAATGACAAGGGTCCAGAAGCTGGAAATGAAACTGATAATGATGATTCTGTAAGTGGAAAGCAGAATAAAGATGATGGTGATGATGATGGCGAGGGTACAGAGGTTGATGATCTTGGTTCAGATGCACAGAAGCAGAAGAAACAAGTAACAGATGAGATGGATTATGAAGAAAACTCTGAAGATGAAACGAACGAACCATCGTCAATCAGTGGAGTAGAGGACCCTGAGATGGATAGTGAGAATGAGGACGCAGAAGTTAGCAAGGAAGATACTCCGGAACCGCAGGAAGAGGCAGATGTTAGCAAGGAAGAGACTATGGAACCACAAAAAGAGGTAAAAGCGGTAAAGAATGTCAAAGAACAGAGTAAAAAAAAGAGACGGAAATTTGTTGGAGCTACAAGTGACAGACATATCTTCGTGAGAGGTGAAGGAGAGAAATTTGAGGTCCATTTCCAGTTTGCTACAGATGACCCTCATATTTTACTTGCCCAGGTACCTTTTTAAATATAAAAGCTAATCTCTTATGACTTTGATAATGGGTGCAAAGCCCTAATTTAAAACTAATGTAATTTAAACATTTTTTTTTGTTTACAGATTGCTCAAAAAACAGCGCAAAAGGTTTACATCCAGGATTCTGGGAAGATTGAACGATGCACAGTGGCTAATTGTGGTGATCCTCAGGTGATCTACCATGGAGACAATCCAAAGGAGAGAAGAGAAATATCCAACGATGAAAAGAAAGCCTCGCCAGCTCTCCACGCATCAGGAGTTGATTTCCCTGCACTCTGGGAATTCCAAGATAAACTTGACGTCAGGTACTTGTACAGCAACAGCATTCACGATATGCTCAACGTTTTTGGAGTTGAAGCAGCTAGAGAAACAATAATCAGGGAAATAAACCATGTCTTCAAATCATATGGTATTTCTGTAAGCATCAGACACTTGAACCTCATTGCGGATTATATGACCTTTTCCGGTGGATACCGACCAATGAGCCGTATGGGAGGAATTGCAGAATCAACTTCACCATTCTGCAGAATGACATTTGAAACAGCCACTAAGTTCATTGTCCAAGCTGCTACTTATGGAGAAAAGGACACATTAGAAACTCCCTCTGCTAGAATCTGTCTCGGCTTGCCCGCGCTTTCAGGAACCGGATGCTTTGATTTGATGCAGAGAGTGGAGCTCTGAGATTCAGTAAACTTTCATTATGATCCATAGTTTGGCTCTTCCTTTCAGATCGTGTGACGTTTTTGTTTCTTTGAGTCTGATTCTGTCAAATCCTCAGGTGGAGCCTCATCTCTAATCATATATATTTGTAGTTTTTTATTTTATTTCAGACTTTCTGTTATCCCATAAGTGGATAGATGTATCTGCCGACATATTGAGAAAACGTTTGGAGGCATTTTTGAGTGACGACGTTTTGATCTGATTTGATGTGTTTCACTTACGATGTTATAATAACCAACTTAAAATTGTTATGCCACCTAATTGTGTTTGGTACTTTCTGTTTTCTTGAATAATTTGTTGTCGTTTTTCGATTATGGCTTCACGGACGGATCAATATGTGAAGTGCGGGACATTAGAAAATAAATTTACATGTAATTCTTTTGATGTTATTCTGTTTGCTTGCTCCCATCCTTCCCCACACCGCAACATCTCAACGCATATATGTGTCCTAAGAACTACTAGTTCAAAGTCTTGATTTTGGATTTTCGGTCATTAGTTGAACATGTGGAGTGACAACTAAGTGTTACCAAAATCAAGTATTTTTTTATGGTTTTGGTGCTAACTAGTGTTTTAAAAAACGGTCGTCTAGACGTTTATACATCGTGGAGATTATCTTTTAAGTATTGGAATTAGGTGTTTTTGTTATTATAACATATTTAAGTTGTTTGGGCGGTCCTAGACGGTCATACATAATCGTTAATCAATTATTATCTAATGTTAAAAATTTGTTCGTTTTTGTTATTGTTGGTAAGAATGTAAATATTCATTAAGAAAATGAAAATATTTAGGTTTACGATCATGGATTTTAAACTTATAGAATTGATCTTGTGGCCAAAAAAACACAGAAGCAAATACAATCAGTTCAGCAAATCAACGTAACCCGTGAAGCAAACCGTATGAAATGAAATGATACACGATTTTGATGTTCCTCCAAATTTCTTGTTTGTTTCAGTGTGTTTTTCTACTTTCTAACAACATAGATTTAAATTTATAAGTTATAACTTCATATACATAGTTGTAAGACGTTTATATGTTTTTGATATAAATTTAATGAATGTTTTTTCTGATTCTTCTTTGATAAACTTGGATACGATCACACAAATGCATTGCATATGGTTTAGTTAATTGCGGTCCTCATAATACGTATGCATTAAAATTGAAACTAGTAAAATGTAGAAAAACATACAGTATCTCAAAAGTTTTGTTTTGACAGTTCATCATCTAAATTTAAGTTCTTTTAGAATAGTACATATCACAATATCACCATAAAAGAAAATGTTTTCCTTCCACACATTCTGATTTGACAATATATAGTACATCTATTATTTAAAAAATAACTGATAAAGATGAATGAAGAGGATGTTTAGAGAAAGAAGAAAAAAAAAAACACAAAACACAAGAGTGGAGGAAAACGACGACGTCTTGACTCTTGAGACTGCCCCTCGTGCTGTCTTGAAAGACTGCCCCAAGTTGTGAATTTGGTCAACTCCTCCCGACACCTCTTTTATTACGTACTCTCCCTAGCTTTTGTCTTAAAATTTTTCAAGTATTAGTAATTTACTTGATTCATTACATTTCTCATGATTATAACTACTTATTTAAAATAAAAAAATACAATTCTTTAACTTTCTTCCACATATTATTAGAAATGTAACTTTAGTTGATTACTTGATTTAGTAGTAGCAATGGATGTTTTTTATCACACTCAGATCGATGTCCTCCATCGCTGCAAAAATGCTTGCATGTTTCACTAACATTTGCTCTTTCTTTCCCAAACCCAAGACTAATATTTTATTTTTCCATTCATTTTCACTAGCTCACCAATACATTATTTAGTATTAAGCAAGATTCAATAAATAGTTTATTAGTCTTTTTTAACTGGCTTTATTTATTGTTTTTCAGATGAATATATTCATTTCGCGTCGTTATCTTATTTTCTTCTGTAATGATAAATCGAATAAATCTCTATACTAAATTTCATAAATACATATTCTCTTTCTGTTGGGACTAGAAATCTTTCCTTTATATTTTTTTCCAATCGAGAATGGAATTAGAGAGACCAGACTATTCGCTTCTTTGGAAAGGTTGATGCTCAAGTCACTACTAGCTTAAACCTTGATAAAAATTGTATTTTATAGATTTTCCATTAACGATGAATTCCAAAACAACTTAACTAGACTACAAGATCATTACAAGAAATGAAGTACACGTTTGTATATATATATATATTAATATATATATGCATCGTAAATTCTTATATCTTTACATGTCTTAAAAGGGTGTTTCATTGTGGAATGTTAGCCGACAAAAATAACATTAAAAAACAGGTGAAAATATACAGAATTTCTACTTCAATCATTGGAATAGTTAATTGAGTTTAGATTTAGTTATTTAACAATTCTTTATTTTTGTTAATGAATAGATCATTGGAACAATTCTTTCTTGCTTTCTTGAATTACACTAATTTTCTCGTATGTGTACCCACCAAACAAGAAAAGGTGGTCTAAAGATTTTATTTATACTTTATTTGAATGCTGCACTCATTTTTTCGTCCTTTTATTAAATATTCACCCTTTTGCTTTAAAGGAAAAAAAAAGTTTGAAATTTGATAACATTGCTGGAATGTTTTTAGTTATAGAAATACGATTATATTAAATAATATGAATATATGATAGTTTAAAATTTAAATGATAAAATGCGCTCCTATCTATCATAACAAATGATGAGAATAACTACTAGATTGCCATGAGTGTTGTGTCTTTGCGATAGTGTATATGTATATAAGCATAATTTTAACAAAAGAGTAGGTGATATACATATTAGGTGAAGCCTAGAGTTTGTGGTACACTTCCTTTAAATTTGAATTGTCCAAAAAAAATACTAGGTCACTATTTCTCTTCCACAATGTCCCCACCAACATATTATATATATATATATATATATATATATATTGGTTTTCTTATATTAATTGACGCAGTTGTCTTAGGCCAACTCTAATGGGACTCTAAAACACTATTTTAGTGTAATTTTTGCACTAAAAGCTTTCCAATGGAACTCTAAAATTCACACTATTTTAGTGTGATGCTACAGTATCACACCAAATTTGGTGTGCTACTATTCACAACTCTAAACACTATTCAATTATTTTATCAATAAAATAATTAAATTAGGAAATATAAAATTACAAAGTGAATAGATTTAAATTGAAAAATGAATAGATATACTAATATATTATATGTATTGAAATACTTTATTTAATTATGATATTTTTATATTATTATGTATGAAAATAGTAATATTATTCTGTATTTTTAGATATATATTTTAATGTAAGTATGTTTATTATGTGAAGTAATTATATAATAATAAGTACTAATAAAAACTATTAAATAATAAAAGAAGTCTTTTAATTTAATAAGATAATATTAGATTATATTCTTTTAGTGTGATATTTGGTGTTGTGATTGGAGATGAAAAACATTTTAGTGCTAAAACTACATTAAAATGGTGTAATTTTAACACCAAAATGGTGTTTAGCCTTGGAGATGCCCTTAGAGAATAGAGACTGTCTTTTTATTTTATTTTTAAATAGAAAGAGTTGTGCAGTGTATAAACGAATGTAACGAAATTGAACAAACGTGGTTAATAAAGAAATCAGAACAAACGAAACAAATGAGGTAAAAGAATGATTCAAAATAATTCTAACTCTAAAATTTCAGCTTAACTTTTCAAAATTTTATATGATTAATATAATCCGTAAACTAGCTAATACATTTTTTTTTTTCATTATAACAAACAACTTCATGCACAATTGTTTTTGTTTTTGTTCATATGAAAGTTATGTTCAGTTTTCGCCAATGCAGATTTCACTATAAGACATTTTTGAGGTTACAAATTTATCTTTTTTGTGCTTCTACAAAAAATGGAAAGAGCAATACACAATAAACAAAGATGAAAACTATATGGCAAGCTAATACAAGTCTAAGATATCCAAAAGATTCGTATACCACTCTTATATATAAGTTGATCTCATCATCTGATCTAATCGTCGTATCTTCACAGCATATATATCCAAGATTAACGTTTCACAACTCAACAAAATATCACTTTTTACTGCAATATATAAGTTAAAAAAGTAAAATAATGACTATATGTATTTATTGCGCTTCTACCAGTTGAACTCAGCAAACAGAATCACTATTTAAACCTTTAGTCGTAGTATCGATAAAACTGTTTCAAATAAGAAACATCACATGCAATATAAATGTTCTATATAGAAATTAATGATGTCATGACCCGACACATAGATTTTAATTTTATCATATATACATAAAACGTCACATCCAAAATAAAACCTAAGCACAAAGAGGGACATGGAAGAACGATATGGTGATGGCTTCTCTCTCCTTCTCTATGCATATAGTGTATATATAAGTGTACACACATTACAAATAGTCACAATGTGTTGCTTGTGAGGGCCCAGCCTCTTGTATAAGGCCCGAAGTCATATTGCGTTGAAATTCTGCTCAATATGAGTTTTACCTACTAAGACCCATATTATATCAATTCCAAAGAATGTTTCTCAAGTTATATCCTAAGATTATCCATTATTATTATATGCTTTTAACATTAGGTATTTTCCATTAACATATGTTGGAAAATGTTGAAATTGTCTACAATTTTTCTTCTCTTTTAATTTGATAAAGATTAAAAAAAAAAAAAAAAACAAATTCCACAATTGTTTAGCTACGTAAATATCACATTTTAGAAGTTTCACCATGAAAAACAATTTCTACAGCGGAATTATTCAACCACTATAATATCAAGATTTAATTTGGGCATATTCAACTCCAGTATATAAATTATACACCATGCATCTACATAGATAAATGCTGCAATCGATCAAGTTGTGATGTGAATCTGTTTTGCATAATTAACTGGTTGGTCGAATAAAAGATGAGGTCGAAATCCAATGTAGATGTTACTGGTGAAAATAGTACTCATGTTTATAACCTACATATATTGCCAAAAACAACAACATTACAATTGCAACAGTGAACATGAAATGTTCTTTGTGAACATGTGGTTCGTTTTGTGCATAAATAGTGTCGTGATGGATATACAAAACCAAATTATGTCATCACAAAAAAATACACTATCGTGACAATAAATTTAAGATCATGATGTTTATTAATCTTCTGAACTTAATTGTAAATGCCTAATTAATCATCACAACTTTGATATACTAAGTATTAATGCCAACTCACATATCTATATAAATTCGAATAATTTGAATGAGTTTAGTGAGAATCAGATTAATCAGACTGTAAATCAGATTTTTAGTTTGAACAACGATATGTGGTAATGTGGGTCCATATATTAAAACCGAATCTAGAACATATATTAATATCATCAACGTAACTGAATTACTTTGCATCATCATAACAAACATGGATAACTCACTCACTGAGCAAAAAGTTATTTTGGAGAGAAACTGAAATTTTGTTTACAATAGACTTTGGGTCACCGTCATAAAATATATATTTCCACATATATTATCAAGTATAAGGCAATGGACGGAAAGCCTAGAATTTCCTAGAGAGACTTTTCCAGTTTTCCTAGTTAAAAGAAAATTAGTATATTTTCTTTTTAACGTACTATTTTCAAAATGATAGAATTGCATTTCGTAACTAAGAAAAAAAAAACACAAAACAGCATACCTAAATGTTTGTGTGTGTATTATTTTTTTCTTTTTTCACCGACTATAATAAATAGCTTTTCAGCCTAAAATAAATGTGTTCCGCATTTTCATTCGACCAATATTTCATTCTTCCATTGTTCATATTATATATATATATATATATCATTGTGCTAACAAAGAAATACTATACAGTATAATTAAAGAATTATAGATATTGGGTAAGTGGAGAAGAAAAAGGAACAGTGAGGCAGGATCTGCGGTGGGGATTTGGACATTCAATGATCTTACCGTTTGAGGGAAAGCCGACCATTGATGCGCACACCAATGCAATTGCTTCCCTTTTTTTTTATAAAATACTTGTCTGTTTCAGAATATAGAATGTTTTAAAGTTTTTATTTTGTTTTAAAATATATGATGTTTTACAAGTTTTTATGTAGTTTTAAATATATATAATATTTTATGATTGTTTTGTATTATGTAGTCTTTTTTTTAATTGGTTGAATTTTTAAAACCAAATATTAAATAATTGTTTTAAGAGAGCAAAATAAATTTTCTTAAAATATGTGATATTAAACAAAACATCATATATTTTCAAACTGAGCGAGTATCTACTACTCCCTCCGTTTCAATTTAGTTGTCGTTTTAGGATTTAAATTTTGTTTCATAATAGTTGTCGTTTTAAGTTTTAATGTTTTGGCAAATGAATTTTTTTATAAAATATATTAATAAAGGGCAAAACAAAAAATTTAATGTTTTTCTTAATTTGTGTGAAAAAACCTTAAACGACAACTAAAACGAAACGGAAGGAGTATTAAAACTTATAAAATAAATAAACAATTAAAATAAGCAAAACGATGACAAAAAAAGAAACAAAAATTAAGGTAAGCAAAATTAAATAATGTTTTTATTTAGTTTATATGAGTATTAATAAATTAATAGACAATCAAAACTCCAAAAAGCTTTTGAGAATACAAACCTTCCAGTTTTTCTCGGGTCCTTGTACTTGATTAGCAATTTTATTAGGTATTGAATTTCTTTGTGTGTTTTCAACTTTTTCTTGTGTCTTATATGATTAATATTTTATGATGAAAACATCCATTAGATGTTAATCTATATTCTAAAATAAATCTAAAAACCAGCATAAATTGGGATAATACTTCAAATTTCGCAAAAACTTGGAAGTATTGTCCTTCTAAAAACTAAAAAGATACTATTCATCTAACTTTCTTCTAATCTATATGTTTTTGAAACTAAGTCACAGGGGTAGATTTTAAAAATTTAATGATATTTATGTCTTTTTATGAACTAAAACTAAAAACAAATACTGTAGTGTAGTAAAATCAGAATTGTGTCCTAAATTTATGCTATTTCGTTTTTTTTATTTTATTAGCTCATGAGTCAGGCAAGACGCCACAATTTTATGCAAATAATTCGTCCATCAGTATTTAGTTTATTTTCAAATCTACCCTGTTTCGAAACTATTTTTAAGTCTCAAACTGATAAGATATGGCTTCAATTCTTTTTCTGAGGAAAGGCTTTTAAGATAAGAAATTTTGTTTGGGAATTGGGATGAGAGCCAATCTCCAAAAAGCAGTGACATTATCTTTGTATGATGTATCTGAACCTCATATATATATATATATATATATTTTTTTTGCCAAATACGTTCCTATATCAGTCCTGTTTCACTCATACTGAATATAAAATAAAAAGTAAGGTCGAACTCGAATAACTTTTTGTTTTGTCATATTAGCTATAAGATTATCTGTCTTTGGTATTTTATCGTATGTATATATACTCCTCAAGCGAGCCCTAATCCTCGATGACTATTGATATTATCTTTACTTACATTTTAACCTAGTTGTATGAAATGGCATCCATTAATGCTTTTAATTATGTACATAATCCACAGATGTGGAATACTTTAGAACTTTTATGATTTAAATATGGCAATGCAATTTCCTGTTTATATAATAAACACAATATTAGAGCCTTACGTAATATGATAATATTAATAAATTAGATATACATATAATTAGAGGTTTATACTTTACTTCGTTTCATTAGTAGAAAAATTATCATTAAAAATCATCATATTCAAGCACAGTTTTACTCTCTTTTTTTCAACGACCATAGTCTGACAATAAACTAAGTGAATTCAGACTTGAACATACGAACAATAATTATTCACATCATTAAATGGTTTTCATTCCTTTTCCTTATAAGTATCCAGGTACAAGAGATACACAAATTGAATAAGGATCAAAAGTTAGATCTTTTTACGGCTTTAGACAATAAAATGAAGTAATATGTGTGTTGGTTCTGATGTGCAGCTTTCAAATGCTGTGTTTAGTGATGATCACACGTAGAAGAATTCTCAATCACACGAATTATGAGTCTATGAATTCGTCCGAAAATTAAGACATCTTATAATCATAGTAAAATATTACGAAATTAATTTGTAATTTATAATAACAAGTTAATAGATTTTGAAAACATTTTAATTTGATTTAAATATTATTTTAGTTCTATATTTTAACAAAAACAAATCACCCATATAAAAATTTAAATTTACTATTCTGAATTTCAAAATGCATACTGCCTAATCTATAAATGTTATCTTCAAAACATCCTAAACAGTCTTAACCGCACTGGTTTTTTTTTTCTAAACCATCGGTTAAAAGTTTTACAAAGAAAAAGGACCTACATATCTGAATGAAATAATTACTTTGCGTAGACTAATATACATTCGTATTTGACTTGCTTTTTAGTTATTTTATTTTTTGTTTTCGTTCAAGTCAGTTTTTAGTTTTCAGTCCATAATTAATAATCTCTCTCTCTCTCTCTCTCAAAGAAAGAAAAAAAAAACAAAAAAACTCTCTCCCTCTCTCCCCATCCCATCACAATCTCTCCATCTCCATCTTCATCTCCATCTATGTCTCTTGTATAAAGATAATCCCACAAGTCTTGAAACTATTCCTTTCTCTTTCTCTCTCTCTCTTCACCATGACTGATCCTTATTCCAATTTCTTCACAGACTGGTTCAAGTCTAATCCTTTTCACCATTACCCTAATTCCTCCACTAACCCCTCTCCTCACCCTCACCCTCACCCTCTTCCTCTTCCTCTTCCTCCTCCCTCTTCGTTTTTCTTCTTCCCTCAATCCGGCGACCTCCGCCGTCCACCGCCGCCACCAACTCCTCCTCCTTCTCCTCCTCTCCGCGAAGCCCTCCCTCTCCTCAGCCTCAGCCCCGCCAACAAACAACAAGACCACCATCACAACCATGACCATCTAATTCAAGAACCACCTTCAACCTCCATGGATGTCGACTACGATCATCACCATCAAGATGATCATCATAACCTCGAGGACGATGATCATGACGTCACCGTTGCTCTTCACATAGGCCTTCCAAGCCCTAGTGCTCACGAGATGGCCTCTTTGCTCATGATGTCTTCTTCTTCCTCTTCCTCGAGGACCACTCATCATCATGACGATATGAATCACAAGAAAGATCTCGACCATGATTACAGTCACGGCGCTACCGGAGGAGGAGAAGACGACGATGAAGATTCAGTCGGTGTAGACGGCGGCTGTAGAATCAGCAGACTGAACAAGGGCCAATATTGGATCCCTACACCTTCTCAGATTCTCATTGGCCCTACTCAGTTCTCATGTCCTGTTTGCTTCAAAACCTTCAACAGATACAACAACATGCAGGTTCTTAATTAATCACACTCTCATTAATCTAAATCTTTAACATATCTCTATACGCATATTTTTTTTGAAGAATTTCGTTTTCTTTTCCATGTAAATCGACTTCTTTTTTTCCGAGTAAACCCAAGAGGTAAAAACCAAAGAAAATACAGTATGTTTGCTCACTAAATTTCCTCGAAAAAAACAAAAACGTTTTCACCTTTAATCGGTAAATATTTATAATATATATACAAATACATACTGTTTTCAAATCAATCAAAGGACGTGTCTTTGCTCACTGATGCATGAATAAATCATTGCATTACAAAGAACCGAGAGACTTGAGACTGTGAAGTCTGAGACTGAGATTTAACAAGACAGTAAATGTTCTTTATGTCTTTAGTACTTTCAGAGTCTCTGTGGTTTTGCTGCTTTTCTCTACAATAATATTGGCAAGTGTGTCACCCTTTTTTTGTATGAGAGTCTTTAAATGTCTAACGTGTAAAATAACAGTAGTCATACGATTTCACATACCCATATTCAATTAATATACATAGATATATGTAAGACTTCTTTTGCTCCATATATATATAAGCTTGATATAAGATTTTGTACTGAACATAAACTAAGCATCTTTTTTTTTTCAGTTTTCGCTTAATTAATTTGTTAACCTAAGCATGCATTGACATATTCATTTCTACATCTATAATTTTGATTACATTTCAGTATTTGTTTGACATCTTTGTTGGTTGAAATCTTGTTGTCTTTTTACATATGTTTCAAGGTTGATCTGCTAATTAATCTGTGTATGCTGGCTAGAGTAATCATCATAACACTGATCTGCTAGTTAATCTATTTATTCTGGCTAGAGTAATCATTACATCTTATAGAAGACACATGCTATTAAAATGGCGAATACACATATCATAAGCTAAAGTTTCAAGACTCACACTTTTAGAACTTTTCGAACATATACTATATATAAGTTATCCAAACCCTACATGATGATCATATATACATGCATGATTTTGTTTACAGATGCATATGTGGGGACATGGATCACAATACAGAAAAGGACCTGAATCTCTAAGGGGAACGCAGCCAACAGGAATGCTAAGGCTTCCGTGCTATTGCTGCGCACCAGGCTGCCGCAACAACATTGACCATCCAAGGGCAAAGCCTCTCAAAGACTTCAGAACACTTCAAACACATTACAAGAGGAAACATGGGATCAAACCTTTCATGTGTAGGAAATGTGGAAAGGCTTTCGCAGTCCGAGGGGATTGGAGAACACATGAGAAGAATTGTGGCAAGCTTTGGTATTGCATTTGTGGATCTGATTTTAAGCACAAAAGATCTCTCAAAGATCACATCAAGGCTTTTGGAAATGGCCATGGAGCGTATGGCATTGATGGGTTTGATGAAGAAGATGAGCCTGCCTCAGAGGTAGAACAGTTAGACAATGATCATGAGTCAATGCAGTCCAAATAGCTTATATAAATTAGTGTAATTAGTACTAAGTAATTCGGTATATATATATATATATATTAATTATAAGTACCTAAATCTATGGACCAAGTTTTGATGGAGGTAGGGCTTTTCAAAGTAAAAGCTATATCATCTAATTGATCATAGAACAAAATGAATCAAGATCACTTGGAAATTTTTAATTTTGTATCTTTAGCTAGCTTTAAATTTATTGCAAGACAATGTAGCACTCTAACTAATGAGGTTTCCAACGGTTTCTTTGTATTTGTATATATATTATTTTTGTCATTAGTTTCACCTTTCGTTAATTCGAAGGACATAACTTATAAATGTTTAAATTATGTTTGTTAGGATAGTAAAAGACTAGAAAAGTAGATGCTATATACATTCATGCATGCATTATGTTAAGAATTTTCTCTAAATATACCATATTCTAGATCAAAATGAATATTTCCAAATTTCAATTTGAGTAATAATAGATTCTAGTATTTTATTCCCAAAAGATATTTGTTTTCTGGTGGAGTTATCTTTGAAATTATTTTATAAGAAAACTTATGATACTTAATTGTCTAGTGACATCATGGAGAATAATGAGAGAGGATGGACACTAGAGAATATTGCTACTCAAGTGCAGACCTTTATTAGGAAGATCAAATCAAATACCAATTTACAAATAATGTGATGATGATACGCAATTACGCATACCATATGTTTTGATAATATAATAATACATAAAAATTATAGATGTATATATGTTTTGGTTAATTTGTTAACAACGCAGGTAAATTTAAATTAAAATAATTCAAATCTGTAGTACATATATAATTTAGTAATTTACCAAAAGATATAGCATCTTTGCATTTAAAATATAAGGGAAAAAATTAAACAATTCCTGATTCTCACGAACTCATCCGAATGTGAGGAAACAAATCAATTTGCCGATGTTAGTTAATGGCATATCTACCGATTCATAGCAATTAGTTTCAAAAGCTATACTGTCGCCCGTCGAGTTTTCTCTGTGTGTCAGTTTGTTGGTAATGTAGAATTCAAGATCCAATTTGGATATGATTGTATACTAAGATTACAGTTAAAGAGAGGCTTTCCTTCCTGCAAAGAGCTTTTCAATATGCTCCTTTTTTCTATCCTTTTTTCTTTCTCTCTTCTCCTTTTTGTTAGTGGAGAGACATATTTGCTCGTTGAAGGAACATTACACGCCTTTAACTATATATGATTCACTTTTAATATTTAATCTTAAAATTCGAAACCAAATGATTATCTCTCGATTTAGGCATATATATATGCATATAGATATTGTCATATTGACCTAATTTTCGTTTATGTATAAAGGTATGCATAAACAGTGAATATTCCTTCGGTTCCTGTATTTGCATACGTATGCATGCAGTAATGTATATACACGTGTATCAGTGTATGTATGTACATGAAGATGGTGATAAATGGGCGAAGAAGGGGCACAAAGTAATGTGAAGGAGAGTGATAAGAAAACAAATTAAAGAGAAGAGAGTGGAGCCCTAAGGGTGTGATGGGTTGGGCAGATTTGGGAGCAAAGATTGATGGTATCAACAGTTTTTTTTAATTTTTTGCTCTCTTTCTTTCTCTCTCACTCACTGTTATTTGATTTGACATCTCATTTTTTCCTTTGACCATCTCTCTCTTTCTCTCTCTCTCTACACACACTCTCACACAAATGACACAACTTTCATCATCTCATCCAATCAAAACCCACATGCTTGCCTCTTTTGTATTCATTTCATATTCAAGGTTACTCATCTTTTTTTTTTTCTATGTATTTGAACGTAAATCTAAAATGTTACATTAGTTGTGTCCCTAACATTTACCGTTATTTAATACAAACAATAAATGGGAGGGATATACATACAATAATTTGCACAAAGCCCTTTTTAGTGAGGGATATACATCCAATAATGTATGGATGGTTTTTACATTGGTCACAAGCTGAAACTAAACAGTAGAAAATCTGGAAAAGTTATGAACGCGCATCTTTAAATTATGTAGGATTCAGACAACATTTATTGCCAATCAATATCCTACCCCTTTGTTGGGAGAAATAGACCATCCCTACCTCTCTTCCTTTGACCCCTCTCATTTTCCCAACACTTCTCCAGAAATTTCTACAGATAAATATGTACATATATACTGGTATATGGTATGGTATATAAATAAACACTTAAGCGTGGTTCCTATTGAATGCTAGATCATCTTTTTTTTGCGGTAAAACATAAGTCATGCGTTGACAGATCCCTAAAAATTAAGCACCAAAAGTTTTCGCTAGTCATTTAAATCGATATTTTTTATATACGGTATAAAACCTCTAGACTATAACTTTGTCACTTTATATTTTTGGAATCTATGTATTATATATAGCTTTATGATTAAACTATTAAAAAGGTCCAACAGTTTATATCAAACTGAAAAGTGATAAAAAAAAAAAAAAAGCAAGAGAAACACTTTTGTTTTAATATAATTATAGAAATGAATCATATAGGTTAACATAATAAAAAATTTTAATTTTACAACTTAGTTATGAACACTATTATTTTTTGGTCAAATGAATACTTGCTTAGAAATTTATATCCATGTTAAAGGTCTACATGACTACATGCACATGTTTATATATAAAAATAGATAGATCACACAAAGAAACATTATTGATATATAATGGAGTACTAGTTAAAAGTTTTCGAATCTCGAAACTGAATTGTTCTGTGTGAGTGTGCATTTATCTACAAGACATTTTCAAAATCCGAGCAATATATATTTGGATTTTCCTACTGTTGCCGGAAAGAATCCGAACATTGGACTTCACTTTGTTCCGTATTTATGCTGTTACATTAACAAATGCATTTATAAAACCAAAGTTTATACATTGGTTATTCTCACGTAGACAATTTTCCTTGTCTGAAAAAACTTGAATAAAAGGCCTTAATTCCTGCTTTTCAAAATCCCGAAGCAATATTCTGAATCCGTTAAACGAAATTTTAATTACTTTACAATTTCCTATGTTCATGTCGAGAAATGCAAATGTGTAAATTAGTACTAACTCAATTTATTTATTTAGTTTTACTGTTCATATTCCAAGGCTGATCTGAAGGAGACAGCTTTGTCTGCCGTGGCTCAAATCTCCATCTCCCACATTTAATTTAATTTAATGGACACACGTACGTACACTGTTTACACTAATATTTTTTTATTATGCAAAAAATCTTCCTTTGACGTATTCGTTTTGTCTATACATATACGTAACAATGTAACGAAATCGTACTGAAAGAAAAATATAAATTTGATTATTAAGATGAAGTACGTATCACATAAAGAAGATTAATGTAGCTATATATGATTTTCGACAACTTTGTTTGAAGGAGGCCCCAACATGCAAAAGATAAAGGGAGAAAGAGGCCAAATTGAGCTTGACTCATGATTAATCACGGGTACCTCAAAAGAGCAAACAAAAAAAATTGAATAAACTATTTTCATATTTATTTTCAAAAGAATAATTGTATGAACAACAACATATATATATCAAAGTAAAAAAAAAAAAAAAACAAAGCACATATATATCTATATATATTTATTTTAGGAATATTTATATGTTTGTTACATTTAAATTAGTATAAAAATATTTCTTTATACCACAAGTAAAAAAGGACAATTAATAAGAGGGAAATATGTAGGTACGTATGATGCCTTCTAATCATTTCTTAAACAATATGATGAATGGGAAGAGTGTTCATTGAGATCAAAGGTTTCATTCGCAAACTCCTTTTTTTTTTTTTTACAGAATCATTCGCAAACTTTGTAAGATAATTTTGTCTATATATGTCCCTAGCTAGTTACTTTAATGATTGTTTTAGTTTTTTTTTTTTATGATCTTTTTTATTTATGATTGTTTTAGTTGTAAGTTGTAATCCGATTTTAAAATTTTCAAAATTTATTTGTAAACGTAATTAAACTATTTATTTGGGACCGTTTCGTTTTTGGACTTCAACTTAACAATTAACACGAGAACTGACTTGAAACAAACTTAGATTCAAACCAGCTGTTCGCCTGAATTATTAGTCGATCGAGCGCAATTGAACGTCTGATGCTAACAATATAATATAATCCATTTGGGAAAGTCATTATGGTAATATTCTTAAAACAATTTCTTCTTTCTTGTGATACAAATAATATTATTATATAATCGTTAGAGATGAGGCCGTTTCGTTAGCTCGTGATGATTGTCCGAGCGTGTTCTTTTGTCCATATTCTTTATTTGATCAACTTTATTTTTTCTACTCCTGTTAAAGCTATTTGATCATCATGCCCTTGTAGATTCTCCAAGTTGTATGTAGTGTTGGGTTTCTTTCACCAGCGAATATTATCCCAAGGAAATATAAAAGTTCAAGAAAACAATATATATCACAAAACTTTTTCTGTCAAGTTTTTTTATAATAGTAATTATAATCTTTACACAAAAACAACAATATTGAATTTGAAACCTCATTTGGAGAGGGGGGGGGGTTATAGTGAAATTAATAGGTACACAAAGATCAAATGATAATAGATTAACACCTTTCTTGTGGCATGGGTTTATATCCAATATATTATCCCAAATCTTATTTATAGATGAAAGTAAATCATATTTTCTATAGGGATTAATCTCAATGACACTTTTTTCTTTTGGTTTTAGGGTTAATTTTTTTTTTTTTTTATTTAATCTCAGTCAGGGGCGGACCCACGTTATGGGAGAGGGGTGCAACTGCACTGGGTAAAATATAAATAGTTTTGATTTTACATAGAACATATTGATTTAAAGTGGTCCAGTGGTTAAGACTACACCCCTAAACTATGAGGTGGAGGGTTCGATTCCATTTTGAAGCATTTTTTGCACCGGGTAAAGTTTGTAGCTGGGTCCGCCACTGATCTCAGTGACACTTATTTTGAATATAATAAAACTTTTCATATGTATCATCTATACACAAGCACACATTTCCATATATATAGTATATGTTTGTATGTATATTTGTGTGAAGCACTGAAGCTAGCTAGAGCGTGAGATCATCACAGAACGGAGAGGCAGATGATACCAGGAGAAAGAATTAGAAACAGAAAAGGTGGAAGAAAAATCAAATCTGATTTTATTGTTGCTTTAACATATAAGAGCAAAAAATATTTATTTATTTATATGATTGGACATGGCATCGACTTTTGTCTTTCCAATTACTTTGAGGAGGGATTCTATTTTGAGGTTAACATAACTCCAAAGAAATACCCACTCTCTTTTCCCAATTTTACCCATGCAACCTTTCAACGTTAATCT